TCATCATTACAATTTGTAAACATCTGACCCGTAATATAAAGGAAAAGTTCGGCCAGAATTTTTTTTTTGTCATTATATACTTATTCCAAACATTTTCATGGAACTCAAATACCTGAAGATTCTTTATTACAGATGATGATAACAATGACATTTCCATTAATTCCACTATTACTTTAAGATGGCAAGAACAGTGAAAGCATTATAGTGTGTGTGTGTGTGTGTGTTTCTCAGCTCTTTGCTCCATCTATGATCTGTAACGGTTCCCATAGTTTAGACTAAACAAGGGGCCGCTTACTTAAGCTCCACCTATGGAAATTAGTTTGAGAGATAATTTCAAAGATTGTATTACTTGTTGGATCAAACTTAAGTAATTATTAAGGCCTCATTTCTTAAGTTATTTTCCAAGTTAATTTCTAGTACAGTCTTTAGTTTTTTTGTATAATTTCACTGGCCCGGCTTATTCATGCAGTTATTCACAAACTGGCAACTGTTAATAGCATTTTGAGTAAAGCTTTAAAACATTTTGGCAATAAGAAAGCAGAGAAGTAGATGACCTAATCTGTTTTCCTTTCTGAATGGCTGCAGAGGGAATAAGAGCGAATGAAAGCAGTCGTACTCTGGATTTGTGCCTTGTCTTGTCATTATGACAATTTCTGCAAAGCTCTGCTCTAGATCAGGATGCTTCGGCGGGCGAAAACAGAGAGGCTAAGTCAGCAAACTATCATTACAACATGGGATACATGAGCTACTACACAAAGCAGCCATGCTGTTTTACTGACACTTTCAGTTGACCTCATAGTCTCTGCATTTCTGTTGTATTTGCACTGACCTGCATACAAAATAAAGGATGCATGTGTCTAGTAACACACCGATGAAGCCTTTGGAGTGAGTTAATTTGGAAGTTCTTCTTTCTATTTTTCTTTCCTTTTTTGGTTTGGAAACAGACTCAAGACTAAATTAGAAGCAAAGCCATCTAACCTACAATTTAATGTGGTTTGAGTGACATATGTAACTTTGTCTTCAAAATACACCAACAAGAAGAGGATGAGACAATGACTGTGAGACAGCCAGCCTTCACAAAGTGCTAAAAACAGAGCCATCTAAGAGGAAAGATAGCAGCACATGGATTGGCATTCACTCAAAAAGGCTTGGGTTGTGTGTACTTGGTTATCTATTGTTTAAACTGTAAGTGACCTTGTGTGACCTGCCTCTTATGAGATGGTCTATTCAAGTGTAGATGAAAAATGCAGGTGAAGTTAATGCAATTTTTGAGTGATTTCACTTTTATATAGCTTCTTCAACCGACTGTTCCAACATATTGGGATTTTATTAATTCACACATTGCGAGTACTTTCCCTATCCTGAAAATGTTACTAGGGTCTGATGCCGGGATCGCATTTTGGCAGTTTGGCCATAAAATCTCCAGAATCAAAGCCCTGTGTGGATGTCAGCTTTTGATTGATCTCTACTGCAATATAATAAATAAATAAAATTGTTTATCATCTTTTTATTTTATTTTATCATTATTTTACCATGAAATTCCCATTGAGAGAGACCTGGTCAAGGTAGCAGCAAACAACAAGATTAAAATGTCACGTCATCATGATGAATACATCATGATTAAGGTTGGGAGTCGAGAGAAATTCAGAAGTTTTGGTTCCCGAAAACGGTTCTGGAGTGATGAAGTGGGCGAAGCGCTGGGAGTGGAAGTGTATCCTTCAATAGCGACGTTTTACCTCATGAATATTAATTAAGTAGCCTGTCACTTAGGAGTTCAACCAACTAACGCAGTTCAGCACTGAAAAGTCCTCGTGCTAGCCCGAATGGCACCTTAAACGCTCGCGGTCTTCTTACGAGTTCGCAAGGCCGCTTTAACTGTCGGGAAGAAGTCTGCTGTGGAGCTCGCACCAGTGCGTGCTCGGCAAAAGTGCGCATAGAGTTCCCATATTGACAGCAAAAGGGGCGTTTGCGAGCACCCTTCTGAAACCTAAAATGACAAATGGGACACTCTACATTTTTGATGGTACATTACGTTTCAGATGGTAAACATGGTGCGGAAACCACGAAATGTGCCACACCCCCTCCTGGAACTTAAGAGACTTTTACTCTAGCAAGTAATGGGAAAATGACCAGAGTGTCACAGGGCTGTTACCAGATTTATTGTGAAAGGTGTACATCGTTTTTTCCACCGTTGAGTCCATGGTTTAGGTAGGTGTTTCGGTACATGCAGCTGGATTACTATTTAAAAGTAACTAGGCTTTATGCAGAGAGAGAGTTATGTGCCTCCTGGATCTTACATGTGTGTTCAGGCATTTTCTACCCCTTCTGAGAGGTATTCTCCACTGCTGGAGATACAAGAAACCAGGAGAGGTCCCGAATTCTCCCAGAGAAAGCACTGCAGACATGTTGATTTTCCTTCAGAAAAATTGCTAAGTAATATATGTTGAATTTGTTGACATTTACCAGTCTGTTAAATCCATTTGACAGTAACTAACTAATAAACATAACAAGGATTGTTTGAGTTGAGGATTGTCCTTTGTTTTTTGTTTTTTTGCTATACTATTTTTTATTTTTTTATTAGTTATTTAATCATTTTAATGGTACCGGAATCATTAGGCGGAAATGGAAAATTTCTTAAGATTCCCAATGCTAATCATGATATACAAAATTCACAAAAAACAATATGATGGAGGGTTATCAGTAACATTACATAGGTATTATTGACATAATATTAATCCAGCGCCAGGAACTGGTTGACATTTAAACAGTAGTTGGCTGTATTGCTCCTTAATGCTGGCTGCCACCCATCACAAAATTAAAAAGAGAAAACGCAAAATAAACAAATTTAAAGATTACATTTACTAGTAGCGATATTTTATTTATTATTTTTAAATTTCTGGACATAATCCTATTGTGATTCTTCGGGCCACAATAATTGTGTAGGGAAAATCTGATATTCTGACAGCCTTAATATGATGTATTGTTCACTGTTGCAATATGTTTTTGCCATTTTTGCAATATGCCATGTTTTTAGCAGCAAGAAAACTGCTTCCTTGTCAAAACCAGATCATCTTCTTATTATTTTTAACAGCAGGGCATCTCATTTGTGATCCAATTTTCAAAACTGTTGCCAGTTACACAGCTCAACGATAACATTGACATCCAGCATTTACTCCAATAAAATAATTGTGAACATGGCATATTTCACAGATTCTTCATCATCATGTTGGCTTTAACCGGTTTATTTTGCCTCTCTCAACAGATGCTCCAGAAAGAAAACCCTCAGAATATGTGGGCTGTACAGGGTATTTCATTTGATAATTACAGCTGTAACATATTGTTTGTAGAAATACTGTGCTCAGACATAACCAGCTGAGGTAGGGATGAGTTCCTCAGACACCCTGACCTCTTCCCTGTGTTTTCCATGAGAAGTCTCTGCTATCTCTGGCATCGCTGTGTAAATAACCTCTGTCAACAGAGGTACTGTGTGCGTATGCTGCCGATCACATTCTTCTCAGACTCATGCAACTCTCACAGTCAGATTTAGGGATTTTCTTAATGCATTGTCTAACTCTGTACACTTTTTAAAGACTCTGGAAATGGCTGGGAGATGTTTGTGTCTGGGTGTCCTGGTAATGATTAGGTAGCGGAGAAAAGCACATTGCTCTGACGTCATTTTTGTTTGTCACCAAAATTTGATGGACACCATACCGCTTTGCTTGGATACGGTCATTCCTGCTGTTAATTTGCTGTTCCATTGTCCCCATTAACATACCTAGTATATTTGAGTAAAACATTATTTATAGGCTGTGCTCTGCTGGCCCGTGACCCAGCCGTTTTGAAGTTTTTGCTAAAAAAAAGAGGTCAAACAATGGTGGCTGTAAAGTGCAAGGCCTAGATTTCCACACGGTTATTTGCTGGTCTTGGTGCGGAATGTGTTTATTCAGTCTTTAAAGGTCAGAACCAACTATATTAGGACAATCTTTGAATATTGGACTAGTCAAGTTCATGTTGAGCTTTAGATTGCGCTTTAACCCCTGTGTATGGGTTAAAAATCTTAGTACGATGGTTATGGTGAAGCACAAAATTTACCCTAATTGGATTTAATACAATTAACCAGAAATCTGTGGAAAAATAAAACAATCTTTCACATTAATTTTTCACACACATTACAAAAAATAACTTGAACATATTTTTTTATAAACTAAATATTTTTGCTGAATATCTAAATACCCTCATAGGGTAACATACTGAAACACTAACATAATGAAATGTGTTAAAAAAGGTTTTCATTTTGGGTTTGTGCAGCTGCCTGAAATTTAAGTTAACCTGCAAACATTATAGTCATAATTTAAAAAAAATGTTGTACACACATTTCACAAATCATCAGTGTTGACAATTTGCAGGCATATTCTTGATCCTAAATGCAAAAAAAGAGAGAAAAAAAATCACAAAATATCAAGAAAAACATATAGGTTAACTGGTATCTCTGACAACTCAAAATCAAAATGGGTCAAATAGAGTATCAGTTCATCCCCAAATGAATGGTTCATGTAGTTCAAATAACTTTTTGACTATGGTACATGTATGGCCACTGGCCAAGATGTTCTAGAGAAATTCAACTTATGCGTTTCACAGAAAATACCAGGTCACATGGGGGTAAATGAATACATCATTTTAATTTGTGGGTGAGCTGTTCCTTTAAGGACAATCAGTACATTTGAAATTGTAAATGTACAATATCAGTTTCAGTACCGGTATACGTGTCATAAAATGCAAATATACCATTTGTTGGTCAGATAAACTATTAATTTCTTCATTTGTTTTGCTTTATCAGCTTGTAGGCCTATTTGATGTCTTTGTGTTGTTCTGTACAAGTGCTTGTTAAGTACCTTTTATGTATCCGGGCTTCTCTGGCAGCATGTCACAGATATTTTTAATCAGATGCTTGATCACAGCATGAGTTTCACGCTGACTGAAGTGTGTTCCTTTCTATGCAGTTGAGGTGGTGGTGGAGTATGACTATGAAGCCCTCCAAGAGGATGAGTTGACCCTCAGGCTTGGAGACGTGATCAGAAATGTGCGACGAATCGATGAGGATGGATGGATGGAAGGAGACCTCAATGGGAAACGAGGCCTTTTCCCGGACAACTTTGTAAAGGTAATTTTAAGAATGTATAGTATATTGGCTTTAAGTGAGGTGATAAGGAAATAATGGAGGTTAAAAAGCTTTGTGGTTAGCACAAGGCCAAAAATAAAAGTTAATAGGAAGGAAATGTTTATCTTTAGGTATGGCATTAAAAGTTTTGAATTCCGTTTGAAATCTTAGCATGTGTCATTGCATGTACAATCTCATCTTCAATTTGTGCACCTCTTAGTCTTAAGTATTGTTTTGAGTTGTTTCTGAGGCAGCTTGAGGAAACCCACATTAAAGTTGGATGTAATGGCAAATCTTGTCAAAGACAGGAAATTATTGCTTTGGTTTCCTTGTGGAGATCCTTTAGGAGGGTGTGAGGTAATCTTTCGCTCCCTGAACTGAACTTTGATCCCGGAAAGATTTGATAGTCGGCACTCAGGTGGTTTTAGGAGAGGACCATGGAAAGCGAGCAGGTAGGAGCTCATTTTAGTTTGTCTGTCAGATCGTATCTTGGGCTCGTTGTGTCTGGAAGACGTGTTACTGGTAATGTTTTGTCTTAAGGTGGTTTTCAGTTCAGTCAGTTTCTCTTAACGTGGCACTTCATTTGATTGCTCGTTTCACTGAATCACCAGACAGATCACAGATAGCACAGGATTTAAAGGGCACTTACAGGAAAAAAATAACCTAAAGAGAATTAAATAAAGTTTTTACACAAACTGCACTATTTTATTGTGTGTTCAAAGTAAATTTGTTGGGTTTTTTGTTTTTCATTTGGAACATTTATATTTTGAGTAAAGATTTTATTTTTATATTTATTCAGCCAGAATTAGTTTCCAAAGCAAGTTAGCTAATTCTAACTCCCACTCCTAGCTTAGGACGATCTGTAATTTAATATACTTAACCAGACATGATTGATATATTTTTTTATCAATGATCTACAATAGGAGTTGTTTTCTGCATGAGGGTGTTACATCATGTGCTCTAGATGCATGCATCATAAACTCTATTGAAATAAACCTAGACATCAGTAAAATAATCTCTGTAGTAGTACTTATTATTTTATTTATTTATTCAAATGTATTTAATTATTTTTTATTATAAGAAAATCAAGAGCACTAAAAAGGTTGGGAAAGCTGACCTCAAATTAGTTGAGGAGAGGGGAGTAAGAAAAAGGAATTTGTTTGTCAGCATCTCAGAGAGGAAGTTTGGAGCGGATGCAGCCTGTGGCATTCTCCATTCTGCACCGGAGCTTACAGGAAAGCTCCACACGCCTGTCTCTCCGACCCAAACCGTGTCGGAGTCCATCTGAACCCAGCTGAAAAGGCCACTGGAGAGTTTCCGTGATACTACTGTGACAGTACTATAATGCTATAATACCTTGATGTTTATTACATAGTACTGAATGATTACCATAGTAGTAATAAATAATACTTCAGGGTACTTCAAAAAATGTCATGTCCAAAAACAACATGGTATCATACCCCAAACAACATGGTAGTTCTATATTAAGTGAGTTATTTAAAGACTAAATAAAGCAGGTACAAAATTATCTGAGATTTGCATATCAAATAGGTTTAAGCAATCTAACATTTAAAAAAAAAATCTGATTGTGATTATGCATACTGTGCCACTAGGGTCACCAAATGGATTTTTTTTTTACTTTAAATTAAAAATTCTCATTTAATTTTTTGGATTTTAATTTTACAGTAAAGCTCCACAAAACACTTACTACACTACAGATACATTTCAGATATTTTTTAAATCGATTTTTTAAGAGGTTGTGGTAAAACACATGTTTATAGGTAATTCGTACTGATGATGAAATATATTATTTAAAACAACACTAACACTTGAACATTCCATTTTAATTAGGGATGTCCCGGGCCGATTAAAGGGATAGTTCAGCCAAAAATGAAAATTAATCACAATTAGCCGCTGATTTACTCACCCTGGAGCCATCCTAGGTGTATATGACATTCTTCTTTCATACTAATACAATCGGAGTTATATAAAATGTCCTGGCTCTTCTAAGCTTTATAGTGAGAGTCAATGGGTATATTTTTTGGGAAGTCCATAAAATCGCATCCATCCATGATAAAAGTGCTCGAAACGGCTCCGAGGGTTAATAAAGGCCTTCTGAAGTGAAGCGATGCATTCGTGTAAGAAAAATATCAATTTTTAAAACTTAATCGACTAAAATAACTATCTTCCAGCAGACGGCCGTACGCAAGTCAACTTATGCCAAGAGTAACACTTGATTATGTATGATGTAGGATGTAGGAGTAGCGTAAGCTTTGATGCGTCTCGCGGTTCAAACCCAAACAAACAGGGCTGGTCAACCGTGTTCGTCATTATGTTGTGCGTCAAGTTCAAATGTTACTCTTTTGGCGTAAGTCGACTTGCGTAAGGCCATGCGTGCATGCGTGCGTGCAAACCTCTAGGAAAATACAAGTATTGGCATGGGATTTCTATCGGTAGATACTCAAAATTCAATGACTTGGATTGTGGGCATAAAAAACTTTATCGGGACAGCCGTACTTTGAATTTGATTTTATTACATTTTAATTGATTAATTCAATTCAAATTAAAAGGCATTTTCAATTCAGTGCTGAATTGAATCTTAAATACACTTAAAGGGGTCATATAATGCCATTTTTGTAGAAGTTAATATGAATCTTTAGGGTCTAAATGAAAACTTTGTAATATACTTTTATTAAAAATTCTCATTAGTATTGTAAGAAAACACAAATTTTACCTGGTCAAAAACAGCTCTGTTTTCAGCACGCCGTTTCAGTGCATATGCCTTTAAATGATAATGAGCTTTGCTCAACCCCGCCCCTCTGTTCTTTGGGGCGTTTTGACACAACGCACGTGGAGTGTTGCCTTGACAACAGTTGAGGGTATATTTTGGAGAAAGAATGGCAGCGGGAGTCTCTGAGGACACATCTGTGCAACCGTATCAGTTTGAACCGGAGTCGGACCCGGAACAAGATGACGGCCCGAAGAAGTTCGACAATTAAGGCTCGAACAGGACGTTTCTGAATGGTTGGTTAACGTAATGTCACTTTGATCTCATCTATCTTTGTATGTACTGGCAGGGTAGAGTAGTGAGATACGAACGCTATGTGTTTACTGATGTATACGTACACCGTTTGTAATAACACAATAACCATAACGCGTTGTTCATTATAAACGTGGGATTATGAATTATATTGAGAACGTTGTACATAGAAAACATGCCGTAATGTACCCTGACTGAGTGTAAACCTTAGACGCATTCATTGTGAAGCGTGCAAGCGATTTGCAAAGATTAATATAAAGGTTAATAAAATTTACACTCACTTCTTTTGGAGGTGCAGCTGGAACACGAATAGTTGGTACCGAATCTTTTTTCATGAGCAGCTTCTTAGCAAAACCAGCTTTATACTGACCCTCGTTTATAAAGCAGTCTGGTGAGAAATGATTCGCACAAACATGAAAGCATTGACGTTGCTCGTGGGGAATATTCCCTTCGAAAACAAAACTCAGCCACTGCGTCTTCAGCGGACATTTATTATGGGTTTATGTGAGGATTCAGCGGTTCGGATTTAGGAACATCAAAATGGCTGCTGTGTTCGTTATTACACCCAAGAACAGAACACAACAATCGCTTAGACGCCATTCTGCTCCAGCGTATCAACAATAGCGGACTATGATGACAGCTCGCTCAGGGCGGGTCTGTGTTGAAACGCTGCTGTCAATCAACAATCGTGGGAGGGGCGTCTGATCTAGTGACGTCACAGGCTCGAACGGCTCGATTTGAGGCAGGGGAAAACATATAAGGAGATTAAAACAAAAACACTGGATGGATTTTTGTCTTTATATGATGTTTGTGTACAGGCACTGCCAACACACATTTCAGTACAATCAACTTGTAAAAGTGCATGTACCATTATATGACCCCTTTAAAGACACGAGATCTACCAGGTCAGGGATTTTTTGTTCTTGTTCATAGTATTAAGTGTTAGCCTATACTTTAGAATCCTCCTATATTCATAAATGTTTTTAGAATGATCTTGCAGAAATACCATTCATTGAGAGAGAAACACAGAGCAAGTTTCAACTAGATGAGTTGAAAACTTAGGGTGAGAGAACATGTCTGTCTGTTTTGCTGGAGATCTTATCACTCCTTTGTTTCGCTCTCTCTCTCTCCAGCTTTTTTGTGGCTGTGCTGTTTGGGAATTTACATGTGTTTGAAAAAGGTGTATGTGTAGGTGCTAGTTGGTGGTTTCTGTGAAGTTATATATGACGTGGGTGTGACTTGTGTTAAAGTGGCAAATTTTAACCTAACAAAGAGTTCATGGTAAAATCAACAGAACTTACAGGTGCTGCTTTTCTTGTTTTATAGATGCTGCATTCATTCCAGTTCAGTTTGTTCGTTCGTTCATTCATTCATTCATTCATTTTTATATATGTACACACACACGTACATATATATATATATATATATATATATATATATATATATATGTATGTGTATATAAAAAAATTCATTCATTTATTTACATACAGTACTATATATATATATATATATATATATATATATATATATATAAAAATGAATGAATGACTGAACTGGAATGAATGACTGAACTGGAATGAATGCAGCATCTATAAAACAAAAAATGCACCTGTAAGTTCTGCCATGGTAGATATATTTGCACCTCTATGAGTGACAAATATGTGTAAATACAGAGACAAATAAATGGGCTTGTTTACACCTGGTCACTTCAAGCATTGTCTCTGATCGGAGAGCTATCTGATGGTGAAAACACCAGGTGTAAATGCTACCGAAACGCTTTTGAGACGGATTTATATCCGATCGCTTAAACCACTTCAGGAGGTGGTCTGAGACGCATTCCAAACGAAACTGAAAGTGTAAATGCATCTGGTTGTTGAAACCGCGTATGTAAATTTTACTCATCCCAAAATGTAAAAAGATAAACGTGTGAGAGCGTATAACATGTCCTAGCCAGATATGACAGCGCTACTGCAACATGCATCGCAGGTTAGTCGAGTATCTCTTCAGCAAGCCGAATCGCAAACTGACACAAATTAAACTAAAAGTCACAGACGTTCAACACACAGTCATCTTTATAATGAGAGTAAATGATCTTACCAGCCGCTCTCTCCCCCATTGCGGTCTTTGAGGATATCCATCCGATCAGTAAAAACACATGAAGTGACCAGGCCCAATACTCTATGAGAAATGACTTGTTAAGGGTACATCGTCCATCAGGTTCCAAATAAACAGAAAATTACCTTTTCCTTTGTGCAGTGTTTTATTCACTGGATTATAAAAAAATATTTAATATTATAAGTATTTTCATTTATTTTCCAGGATGTTTTGATGATATATTGTGATTGTGGAATGAAATTACTTATATCATGGTGTAAGATTTTGGTCATACTACCCACATTCATACATATCAACAAAAGATATTATATTTGATTTCTTTTTTCTTTTCTTTTTTTTTAATCAGGTGAAAAAAGATGAGCCAAAGTCCAAAGAGGAGCCAAAGGAGGCTAAAGACGTGAAGGAGGCAAAGGATGATACTCCATTACAGCGGCGACCATCAAAGAATGTAGCAAGCCTGGTGCAGAGGATCAGTACCTACGGCATCCCGACCGGAGGACTCGGCTTACAACCCCATTCTCAACCCCGTGCCTCAAAAAAGAGTGCGTTTCTATTTTTATTTCAAATTTCATTTACTTAAAGATGCTGTAAACTATTTTGTTCAGAATACCACACATAAAATGTTCATACTACCTGTTTCTGTGACTGCTCTAGACTATGTAAACAGCAACAAAAAAAAAAGCCCACGCTTCATAAGATGTATCCAATCAGAAACGCTCTGTACCTGTAAATCATTTTGCACGTATTTGAGTTTGCTGACGTCGGGTTGACTGACATGTCTATGGAGGAAGGCCACATGGTCAATGTATTGGGCTGGTCTAATTCAGTCTAGTGGAAATTAACGTCATGGCTTACAGCATTTTTAATGTTAATGAGCTATTGGTGTCATTGTTTAATAGATTTTTTATCATTAATTTGTCACCGTTGGCTGATATGATTTTTATATTGTTTGCCGCATATGGTAAATTATTTCGTTACTATATGTTTTTGGTCTTTGCTTGACTGGAAGTAGAGTTTAGCACAAAAAGAGTTTAGCAGATAACAGCTTTGGCCTGTAGTGGGCAGCAATAGCTTTCCTGTTGGCTCATGAAGCCTGTTTTCATTTCCTCTGTCTGAGACTTGAGTGTACGGCTGTCTCAGATTTTAGAGGAAGTCCACTTGATCCTCTCCAGCTGCATATGAACATTATCACCGAACACAGCGAGTGTGATGCCAGCCTACATTCAAGGCTTCTGCTGAACAAATCATCTAAAACTGTGATAACAGTGGAATGTAGTTGCGCTTCCTCTCTTCCTCTGTGCAGCCAGGTATATCCCATTGTACCCTTGAGGAATTATTGAATATTTTGTTTAGTTTTTGCCCAATGCAGCTTTCATTTCGAGCTAACCGTATAGAGATAGTGTTCAGACTCTTCTAAATGGTACTGTGGTGCATTAATAGAATTAGATAGTAATACCATGATACTGAATGATGACTATGTTCACAATTACTTCAGTATAATACTCCAAAGTACACTTCTGTTCAAAAGTTTGTGTTAGTAAAAATTTTTAAAGAAATTAATACTTTTATTCAGCAAGAATGCATTAAATAAATTGATCAAAAGTGACCGTAAAGACATTTGTAATGTTACAAAAAATAAATGTCAAATAACTTTCTTTTCATCAAATGTGTCACTTTCTTAAGACTAATTCAGCAAATTGTCATTCAGACATCACAGGAACCTTTTAAAGGTCAGTTTTAAAAATATGTAGTTTTACTTGTCAAAAGTTAGCAACATATACACTACTGTTCAATGGTTTGGAGTCGGTAAGATTTTTAAAAGAAGTATCTTGTGCTCAGCAAGGCTGCATTTATTTACAGTAAAAACTAATATTGTGAAATGTCATTGCAATTCAAAATTACAAATTTTTTTTTGAATATATTCTAAAACGTAATTTATTCCTGTGATGTCAAAGCTGAATTTTCAGCAGCCATTACTCCATTATTCAGTGTCACATGATCCTTCATAAATCATTCTAATATGCTGATTTGAAAAATGTCTTATTATTATAAATGTTGAAAACAGTTGTACTGCCTAATATTTTTCTGCAAACCATTATATTTTTTTTCAAGATGATGAAAAGAAAGTTGAAAAGAACAGCATTTATTAGAACCCCCCCGCACACACACGCATAAAATTTTTTCATTATAAATGTCTTTACTGTCTTTGCATCCTCGCTTAATAAATGCATACATTTAAAAAAAAAAAATCTTACTGACTCCAAACTTTTGATTGGTAGTATAATCGTTGAATAAGTGCTCCATTTTCACAGCTAGTGACCGTTAATGTTTTTTAATTTGGCATGGAATAGACCTTAGTCAGGTTAGACACCATGTTGACTTAGCAGCACTGATGAAACAGAGCTGTGAGGAACAGACTTACAGTCTTTACAATGGCAAGCACTGTATAAAGTTCTTAGATCTTGTAATTGTCACATCTCTAAACTTTCAAAACTGATTTGTAGAGTTTTGGTCTACTGAATTTTGTTTTCTGAAAGAGGTTTCGTCAGCCGAACAGTCGGTATGTTGTTAAACAACAGTACAATTCATTGTGCGCACTGTACTTCTCCCCCTTACAGCGTTTCTCTTTAAAGGGCACATGAATCATCTCAAGGAGAGGGTGTGGTGTTTGTGTGTGACAGTGTATGTGTGCGTTCAATTTGGTTGGTTGTCACTCGTTGAGCCCTCTTCAGGTAGCTAGGGGAAATGTATCCCTTGCATGTCTACTGTTATTGGCTGAGCATGTCAGGGCAGATCCAGAGTGACTTAATGTGTTTTCATTACAGAGGCCAAGAAGCGTCAGTGCAAAGCCCTGTTTGAGTATGTGCCTCTGAATGAAGACGAGCTGGAACTGAAGGTTGGAGATATCATTGACATCACTGAGGAGGTCAGCAGCTTCTGTCTTTTGTGTATATTCTCTCTTAGTAGAAAATCACACACTGCACATGCGGTGTGAGATATGATGATACTGAAAATGTTCCTTAATTTTAATTTCTCGCAAATTGAGCATCATTTGCTTGTAATTTCATTTGCCCATTTGCTCAGCTTTTTCTCATGGGATAATAATAAAATGTAGTATATTTATAGTTTTAATAAAAGTTTCTCCCCAAACATTCTTTTATTCATTCATATCAGTGGATCTCAACCAGTGGGTTGTGAAAAAGTCAAAGGTCTATTCTGATAGGCTGGCTGATGTCTAGAATTTATTTTATTAAATGTAAACAAAGCAACGCAGGTAACCATATCATTGTGCATAGTTGGTAAATGAATAAAATAAATGGGCTTACATAGGGTAAATGCTTCACTTTAGGGCTGCACGATTTGGGAAAAAAATCTAATTGTGATTTTTCTGGTTAAAATGGCAATTTACACATTTATTACTAATGAAAATATATAATATACTATAATAATAATATACATTACTCCAGTCTTCAGTGTAACATGATCCTTTAGAAATCATTCTAAAATGCTGATTTATTATCAATGTTGGAAACAGTTGTGCTGCGTAATATTTTCTTATAACGTGTGATACTTTTTTCAGGATTCTTTGATGAATAAAAAGAAAAAAAAAAGAACAGCATTTATTTAAAATAGAAATCTTTTGCAACAATATTCAAACGTTCAAAAGCTTGGGGTCAGTAAAACTATTTTCTTTCTTTTTTTGAAAGAATTTAATAATTTTATTCAGCAAGTATGTATTAAATTGATGAGAAGTGATAGTAAAGATTTATAATGTAGAAAATATTTCTATTTTGGATAAATACTGTTCTTTTTAACTTTTTATTCAATTAATCCTGAAACAAGTATCACACATTCCAAAAAATATGAAACAGCACAACAGTTTCCAACATTGATAATTACTAAATATCAAATCAGTATATTAGAATGATTTCTGAAGGATCATGTGAGACTGAAAATTCAGCATTGCATTACAGAAATAAATTATATTTTAAAGTATATTAAAATAGAAAATCATTGTTTTAAATTGTAATAATATTTCACAGTATTACTGGTTTTTACCCTGTATTTTTTTTATCAAAAAAGCAGGCTTGATGAGCATAAGAGACTTCTTTCAAAAACATAAAATATTAGTAATGTTTCCAAACTTTTGACCAACACAGTACGTGTGTGTGTATATATATAATATATATAAGAACACCCGATTTGTTGTGCTTGTTTGTAGGACTGCACAATTAGGCCCAACAGTTTGTGCTTTTATATTAAAATTACTAATAATTATTATTATGGTTATCATTGTTGCTAAATGGAAATATTAAACAAAATAATAAATATTACTATTGTAATAAATTGCCTTTTAATAATTATGCCTCACAGTAGTAATATAACTTATGACATTCCAGGAAACCCCTAATGTGGACAAAGGCATCCGGTTATCGCTGTAGATGAATAAAAAGAAGATAGAAAGCTTTGACTGATTAATAAAGTCAATTGATAATAAAGTTATCTTTGTTTTATTTTCAGTTTTTTTTTTTACATTGTACTTTAAGCCCGACTACATTTAATGTGGGCCCATTTGCAGCAAGGATTGTTGTTTTTTGTGGTGAATTATTGGCTGCTGAGTATGAAACCAGTTCAAGAGACTTCGTAATCATTTGATACATTTTTGGGACTTTGCAGGGTGATAATAATGAATTTCAATTGAGGAATTGAACAAATTGTGCTTTAAACAATTTTGCTGCTGTGTTGGTTTGTCACTTGATGTTCAATGTAAAATCTGGGTCCTAAAGTGAAACCAGTTGAAACTCACTGTTGAAAATGAGTGTTTGACAGTTCCTGTATTAGTGCTGACTGTGAGTGATTTTTAGGTTGAGGAGGGCTGGTGGAGCGGAAGCATGAATGGGAAGTCTGGACTTTTTCCTTCCAATTTTGTCAAAGAAGTTGACTCAACTGAAGACACCGAGACCAGCGACGTTACAGAGGAGCCAGGTACCGCTCAGCTAATCCTGTGATGCATTCTCTGGGAGGACATGTCCTTACAAGAAAACACTCAATAGAAACCTTTGTTGTGTGTGTGTGTGCGTGTAGTGTTTTTGAGGTGTTTAGACCTAGTCAAGGCATCTGCAGTCAGCATAACATTTTGTTCTTGATTTTTTTTTTTTTTTTTTTTTTGAGGCAGTAGGCCAACTGAAGCCGTCTGAATGTTAGACTGTTCAATGGGGTTAGTGAGAATTTTTTTTTGAAAGAGATTAAAAAGGGGGATTAAAAATATAAACTGGGTACTATTCGACTGGTCCTGTGATCTCAACATGACCCATATGAAGAATTTTTTTATTTACTTTGTGCACCTTTGGGCAGCTCGCCCAAAAATAAAAGTGACAGTAAAAATGTCATCATTTACTTACTCTTGTTGATACAAATCCGTGTGATTCTCTTCCTTCTGTGCAACCCAAAAGGAGAAATTCTAATTGTACGGGTTGTTCTTTACCACTCAATTACAATGAATGGACACTGAGGGATTCAAAATTAAAGTATGCTTAAGCATCATAATAAAAGTCCATATGACTTGTGTATTGTATTCCAAGTTTTCTGATTTAATACAAACAGTCCGTCTGAACAAATGATTCAGGTTAGTTTTACAGTCTTGAACAGATCAGTTCAATGAAAAAATCAGACTCGTAAGAACAACTAATTAATTTTCAGGTCTAATGTCAAATTTTTTGTGAACTCATCCTTTAAATAATATCAATTATTTTATCAATGTTTACTTCACAAGTGACATAAGAACTTTGTAATGCTTGTTGTGGCAGTACTACTACTCATACAGAGGTGTGTGTTCACAGATAACACAGATGGACTGTCTAGCCCCACTTCCCCTCACCCAGGCAATGGCGTCATGGCCCAACCGAAGAAGATTATAGGCATTGGCTTTGGCGACATATTCAAAGAGGGCTCTGTAAAACTGAGAGTCTCCCAAAGAGGACCTGTAAACGAGGAAAAGAAAGAAAAAGTAAGTGTTGTCATGCGCCTGGCAAAGTATTTCCTTCCTGTAATGTTCCGATCCCAATAATTGCAGCAAAGAAAACTTTTAGTATTGCGATTTTCACGATCAAAATGGATAAAGTAGAAATAAAGCAGTCAGTCAAGTGAACATTATTTAGTAAATGGGTTTTCACTCTAATCAAAAATTATACAACAAAGACGATAAATGTAACCATTTAAAAGAAAAGACTAATGTTATGTTCTAGCTTTTGTTACGTACCTACAACCTGTGACGTCACACGGTTGGTCGGCTCTGTTGGATTAATGAAGATTATTATAGTCTCGATTCTGGTCTTTTATTTTTCTGCTTGTTACTAGTTTTGGATTGTTCAACGTATGGAGTCCTGATTGTTAAACATGTCATGATAAGAAACATTTATTTTGCGGTTTGCACAAGCTTTGATCTATGTATGTTGTGGAATGACAGATGGGTGTTTATAATGGTTGTGGTTCATTTTAATTTTTGACAGTCATTTTGTCAACATATTGTAATCCAAGTATAAATCTTGAGGAGGTGGGACTTTGTGTTTGAATGTGTATCTGGAAGGATGTGTACTGTTGTCCGTTTCAGCCGCACTTGTTCCTTTGTAATTTTTAGTAACACTTTATTTTGATGGTCCCTTTAACATTCTGTAACTTTGCAACTACATGTCAACTAACTCTCATTAGTATTGAGTATTAGTAGACTGTATGCTTAATATCTGCTGACTCTTTATTGTGATGCTCCTCCAACAGATACTCTACTGACTATAAGTAATTTTGCAAGTACATGTCAACTTATTCCAACCCGGTCCCACTTTATATTAAGTGGCTTTAAGTACTATGTACTTACACCGAAAAATAAGTACAATGTACTTATTGTGTTCAGATTGTATTGTAAAATACTTTTGCTGCTATTTAGATGTGATACTGTTAAGGTTAGGGTCAGGTGGGTGGTATGGGTAGGTTTAAGGGTAGGTTGAGGTGTAAGAGAAGGGTCAACTGTGTAATTACAAATGTAATTACATAAATGAATTACATTCTCTAATTACATGCAGGTATTTTCAAAATATAAGTACAATGTAAAAACATTGTATGTACACAATAAGTCCATTGTATCAAATTAATTAATTTCAATGTAAGTACACAGTACTTAAAGCCACTTAATATAAAGTGGGACCTTTATTTATTGTGTTTGTTACATAATTTTCCATTGACTAAATAATGCTAACTTGATTTACTGCTTCATTTCCACAAAATAGTGCCATATAAAATTATATCATTATCTTGGCATGTATGAAAATGTGTTCTGCCCATTCCCAAAGCCATAAGCAATGGAGCGTTGAAGGGTAATTACATGTCTAACTGCTATACAAGTGTTTCCAGTGATTGCTCAAGACATTACATATAGGCAGACAGTCTCATGGGGAGAGACCATCCTTTTTAGGGAATATGCCTCTATTTTTGGTCTTCATTATTTAGGGTGGCTGATTTTTGAAGCATTCTGGCATGCACTAGTTCTCTTATTATCGTTTGTGCTCTGCACAGCTCAAACTGAGAGAGGAATATCCCTGTCTGGCCTTTTGTTACATCCGCAAATAGTGAAATGCAATACACTTTTTTTTTTTTTTTTAGTTTCTAGAAGTGAAAAGTGCAATTTGTTAAAGGAATACTTAACCCTAAAATGAAAATTTCATAATTTACTCACCCTGGTGTTGTTCTAATGCCATTTGTCCTTTCTTTTTCTGGGACCACAAAAGGAGAAATTTTAAAAACATTTCCTGCTCGCACTCATCCATACAATGGCAGTAAACAGCGACCAGCATCATGCTTTAAAAAAAAATAATTAAAAGCATCACAGAATGGTCCCATGCAATATGTCGTATAATCAGGGGGTATACGATAGGGTTTGGTTATAAAAAATAAAAATAAAAGCAAAATTGAATGTATTCTATAATGAAAGTTTTGTTTATACAATGTTTTCTTCATAATATCATGCTTTTTATTTTTCCACACACATTATAAGTAGATCTATATAAATGAATATGTATAGCTCCCTTTATAGTTGAGGGTCCTTTGCATTAAAAAGTTTTTAAACTCCTAATATAAATAACGATTAGTTACATTTCTCGCTGAATTTTCTGCTTCACTTAGGAGTAATTCTATTCAGAAGATAAAATGTTTTTGAAAGAACTCTCTTATGCTAACCCAGGCTACATTTATTTGATTTTAAAAAACACAATAATACTGCAATATGGTGAAATATTGCAATGTCAAATGGCTGTTTTCTATTTTAATATATTTTAAAATATAATTTATATTTTATACATCATTACTCCAGTCTTCAGCGTCACATGATCCATCAGAAATCATTCTGATATGATGCTCAAGAAACATTTCTTTGTATTATGTTGAAAACAGTTGTAATGCATAATATATGCATAATATTTTAAATAGTGATACTTTTTCCTGGATTCTTTGATGAATTGAAAGTTCAAAGGAACAGCATTCATTTGAAATATTTTAGCCATTTATAATGTTATAAAATATTTCTGTCACTTTTGATCAATTTATTACATCATTGCTAACTACAAGTATTCTTTTTTTTTTTTTAAATCGTACTGATCCCAAACTTTTGAACGGTAGAGTGCATCATATTTAAGTTGTTAAATGCGCCACAAATGACCTTCCATGTTTTTTTTAAGTCATTTAGGTCTGTTTACAGCATTAATGCATTTAACCAATACTTCCTCTTTCCCTTTTTATCACATTTTGCATCCCATTATGTCATTTAGATTAGTTAGATCTTCTACTACGGCTATTATCAAGAGCTCAGAGGTCATTTATAACACACCATCATGTGATGTAAGGGTCAGAGGATTTACTAAATACCCTGTAGGTTTCTTATTCACTATTTGCTTACTCACAAAAAAAAAAAAAGGTTTGTGTCCTTGCGCAGGTGCACTGCAAAATTTGAGACTAAATTTGGCATGCTTTCCCATTTACTCTGTACATATGTAACAGGCAACAGTGGTTGTTGTTTACCCAGCATTCCTTTCATCCAGGCATGGCTGATCTGTCTCAGTCTGTACCTTCCAGTGTGCAACTGCATGTGTTTGTGTGGCTGCCGTGTCAGTAAATCCATATGTGGTTCTGCTTCATTTTAGCCAATTCCATCATTACCATCTGCCACAAAACCTACCCCTTTGAGCTCTCCTGAACCCCCTAAAGGAGAAAAAGAGGCAGAGAGCAAAGGAAAAGGTGAGTTCATGGGGAGGTTGACATAAAGCTGTATATGATAATCAAAATAATGATAGGAGATTTATGGAAATGGACCAGACATGAATGCCTGAATCCGACTGCAGTGATTATGACTAGTTTTCCTCCTCTTGGGAATCAGAAGCGCAAATTATAGATTGGCATACCTATCTATTTTTGAAAGTGCCTGTCCTTTACGAATATATAATGAGTTGCGAAGTGCATTTTCTTATGCATACACCATCAGATCTCAAGGGAAAGTAGGAATGCTAACAGATAGCTTTCACCAGCTATTATAGATCCCTTTGGGTGAAGTTTCTATATGCTCTGCCATTACTTTAATCATTAAATGATGTCTGTACAACACAAGCAGAACAAATAACTTGGCAACGTGGCACTTCAGGCACTCCACAGCTTTTTACAACACTATTTTTTAGTAAAGGGCCTGCTGTAGGTACATAAGACAAATCATTGTAACTCATGCCATGGGATGGGTATATTCTTTTTTTCTTCTTGTCTTTCTGTAGTAAAAGAATACTGCAAGGCCACTTTCTCCTATGAAGCAACTAACCAAGATGAGTTGGATTTAAAGGAGGGTGACACCATCCACGTACTGAGTAAGGTATGTAACAGAAAGATAAAATGTCTCCTCAACCACAGGGATCTCTAAATAAACGACACATAATCAAGGATTTTTAACGCAAAGCATCAACATTAGGAACATGGGTACATAAAAAGGGAATAAACACTTTTACTTTTAGTGTTAAGCTATCATGGAGCAGTGTAAACGAGTTTGGGCAGAAGGGCTCCACCTTTTGCAAAGACGTTCAAACCAGTTAATTCTGATCGCTTCATTTAGACCAGTTATTCTATATCATGTACTCGATTTTAGTCTGGTGTGTGAGTTAGGTTAGATTTGTGCAAACTATGCCAGAGAAGTATATTCAATGGTACATGTTAGAATTACATATTATACACTAATTATGAAGAATATTGATATCTTATGCATGGAAATCACTCTTGTTAATGATTTAAAGGAAAAGTTCACACAAAGATGAAAATAGTCTAAACCTGTATGACCTATAATGCAATTTTTGCTATTACAGAGCTCTCAGATGGGGATTCTGATGTGAAATCATTCTACAGTGATCAGAGACTAAGCGTTTTGTAGTGTTCCCCATTGTGTGTGTTTGATGCTATCTGCTGACACTTTGAAAGTTTATATGAGAATGTAGCTGTTGTATATCATACTAATGACTTCTGTTCTGTTAGAAACCTGAGGATGTTTGCTTTATTTAAGTTAAGACACATGGAGACCCGTTTCACACATTCACCCATTGTTTGTCAAAGGCCTTGAGCAGGAAGCAGATCAAAGCTGGAAAATGTTTTATACATGACCACCATCTAGTGGCAAGGGATATATCTACATTTTCCATTCATAATGATGTGTATTTAAGCTTTTAAGACATATTATTCAGAAACTGTTGCGTAGTATTTCATGAAATAATCCATTTATGTTCAGAGTGGTTGATGGTTTTGATGTTTTAGGACACAGGGGAGCCGGGCTGGTGGAGAGGAGAGATCAACGGCAGAGAGGGAGTTTTTCCAGACAACTTTGTTGCTCTGCTTCCTGAGACAGACAAAGAGGTAAATTTGCATTCATTAATGCTGTTATTTATGTCTACCTTAGGAGTCTTCATTATCTGGAAAGGAAATTGAACAACCCAGTGCAGACGTGCAATTTAAAGATTGCAGAAAGGAAAGTTATTACCTCAAAACTACCAGTTTACAGTTACGACAAATAAAATCTTCTTTTAAAATAATCTCTAATCAAAAGTTATTATTTTCTTTGTTTATACAGACACTAACATCCAAAGGCTCCTTTAAAGTATCTCCTAAACAGGAAGCAGAGGAGGTAAGCAATGCATATTATTTTGTCAGAAAATTGCTTATTGGAATACACTTATTTTTTAAATGGAAAAATATGTCAGTTTTGCCGTCCTTTCATGTATCAATTTGTTCGAGAGCATTAAGACAGATACAGTTCCTTTCAAAAGTTGGACACCTTCTCATCCTTTGTGTTTACTATAATAAAATCATTCAAAACTATAACAGAAATGGCAGTATGGGAATTATTTAGTGACTGATTATTTACTTTTCCCAAAGTTGCCACCATAAAATTACTTTATTGTTAAGACATTTATTTGTAGGCACAATCTTATACAAAACTACCGGTAAATCGAAGCATTTTACCATTGATCTCAAGATTTTTAAGATCATGAGAAGCATGAATTCGATCAATTGTGTCTTAAAGGGATAGTTCACCCAAAAATGTTTTTTGTCACCATTTACTCACCCTTATGTCAAACCTGTATGAGCTGCTTCTTTCTGCTGTTGAACACAAAAAAGAAGATATTTTAAATAATGTTGGTAACCAGACAGTTGACGGCACCCATTGACTTCCATAGTATTTTTTTTATTTTTTATTATTGAAGTCAATAGGGGCCGTCAACTGTCTGGATACCAGCATTCTTTAAAATATCTACTTTTGTGTTCAACTGAGACAGAAACTCATACAGGTTTGGAACAACTTGAGGGTAAGTAATGACAGAATTTTCATTTTGGGGTGAACTATCCCTTTTACTTCTGACTGGTAGTGTATATTGAGTGTCGTCAAATATTGAGATAATCTTTTCTAAATCTCCTATCCCCGTTTCTCAATGAATCCCCTGTACTAAACCTTTTGATCAAAGACTTTAAGAACCAAAATAAACAACAGTCCAGACAATATCCGACGATATCAAATAACACGTGCCTTTTTGTGATTCACTGTTGGGGATTTGAGCTTGAAAGAAGCATTTAAATCAATTGGAGCCACTTATCTTCACCATGTGTTTCACAAACACAGCTTCATTCTAGCTTCTGAGGTCTTTACCCCGAGGGTGCATGTTTAACCACTCTTTGGCAAACTGTGGAACAAAAGGCCCCCTTTTTATTGTGAGGAGCAGATTATTTGTTCAAAGCACCAGCTACCATCACTAGAGAACAAACAGAGTTTTGTGCGTGCAAAAGTTATGCTCTGCCACATCCATTTTCCGGAGAAATTCCGTGAATCCTCACATCCCTCCACTGACTGGGGTCATGGGTTGATATGCTCTCGGCATAATTGTTTTTCTTTCTTTTTCGAAACATTTTCATTTTCAACCTGATTGGCCTGAATGATTGTCTTTGTGCTACTGCAGTGAGAATGTGATGAGCTGAAGCTCATGTGATGGCTTGTGGAGATCAGCGAGCAGTTCATGAAGATGTGAAAGTGTTCATTCCTCCAACGGACTCTAGGCAGCCCATGATCAATCCTTTATCCTATAAGCATCCTGTCAGATGATAAGACGTGATCTCTGTATCAGGAAATAAGGGGACAAAGGGCAGTTTCTGTAAATTGTTGTTGACATATATTATAGAGCATTCAAATAAACAGTACGCAAGATGTGGTAATAGCACAATATTGGGCATTTGAATCTATTGTTATTTTATCATTTATTATTAATGCATTTATATATCATCCAAAAATATTTTATTTTTTTATGATTGAGTAGTAGTTGTCTGCATTGCCTTATATTTAAGTGACTATCATGGCAAGGCAACTCTTGGAAGAGTTTATCATGGTAACTGATATGGACAAAGTTAATGTATTTGTTGTTGGCGGGAAAGAGCTGCTACGCTGCAGCTGTTATTGCTCCTTATGCTGCTACTACTGCAGAGCAGGTACTAGGGCTGCTCGATTATGGCAAAAATCATAATCATGATTATTTTTGTCAATATTGAAATCACGATTATTTAACACGAAAGTCTTATTTCATAAGACTATCATTTTAAACGTCATTTGTCATTTTAAACGTCAGTGAAATTTCACAGTTATCGATACTTCAGCAAAAACTAATACTAGGTTAATTAATGCAAGTAAAAAGAATTCAAAACAGTTACAGAAGACAAGTAAACAGTCAGCAATAAAATAAGAACAAAGAAACTAATTACAAACAAAACCGACTAAAAATAGAGCGGAAGAAAAATACAAATTAAAGAAACAGTACTTTAGGTTTTTCACTTTCAGGAAGATGAACTTACAGTGGTATTCAGAATAAGTAATAGCCTTTGTCAAATGTAAAATAACACTGCTGTATACATTAAATATAGACGAATCCTTTATTATTTGAATTATTCATTCAAGAGCAGTGAGTGAGTCATAAATGTTGATACTGTCACTTTAATAAGAGCTGCACGGATCCGATATATTGTTACACACTCACTTACATTTACTTAAGGCATAAACAACTGTTTACAAAGATACTTACCAAAACGGCATTTCGACATATTTGTATGCGCGTGGTTCCGCCCCGTCTCGGAGCGCAAGCACAGGTGGCCTTCTAGGGAACAGCGTCTCTTTCGCGGCTTAATGCTCTTTTAATAACACTGTTTAATATCAAGCACGTCCCGCGGTTTAGCAACAGTTGACTGCATTTTACATCACTCACTTATTCGGCTGATTTGGATGTGAAAGCACACCGCTGTGAAAGAAAGGAAAGTGCACTGGACTGAATGTGGCAGCGGAACAATAATCATTGTACTTCGATTATCTTGTTTTCATAATCGTTGGATGCCGAAATTGAAATACGATTAATCGCACAGCCCTAGCAAGTACAGAGACTAGCATCTATGAAATTACCCGTAGCAGATCTATACAGGTGGAGCTGGGGAAGGCGGAGGTTTTCAGAGGAACCTTGAAAGCGCATTGCAAACTGCTACAGCAAACACTGACCAACTATTTAAATGTTGAGCAGCAAGCTCATTGGCTACAGATGCTACCAGTCTGCATGTGCCGTGTAGCTAACAATGTAATTGTCTGCAGGTTGCGTTAAGGATAGAGATGCACCGATTACAATTTTCTAGGCCGATCCCGATTCCGATTTTTCCTTGAGTTTGACCTGCCGATACCGATTTTAGCCGATTCCGATTTCACAAATATTTATTTTCTATCTTCTCTTTAATAGAACATTTTGCATAGAACATTTTTTTTGAACAGATAATCGCAATAAAATAGAACTATATAAATTACTCCTGGTGTGGGAAATTCACACACATCTAAAGTGCAGTGTTATGGAAGAACCATTTCCTTTTCACATCCAATATCCAACTAAAAAAAATTTATATTTAGCAAACTAAACTTCTGTATGAAAACAGGTAATGGCAATAAAATAATATATAAATAACAAATAAAAATAAAATAAATAAAGCCTTCCAGTATAAAGATATTTCTCTCTCTCTCTCACACACACACACACACACACACACACACACACACACACACACACACACACAGGCCTATTGCAATCACTTGTACATCAGTGGCAAGTTATATTTCTCAAACAGTTCTTCTCTCATCTGACACATGTCAAGCCAAGCTAAACAGGACAAGTGGAGTATGTGCAGGGAAATGATTGGGAAATAATAAAAACAAGTTTAAATGGGTAAATTTTCTATAAATATTTTTGTCTCTTCATTTTCTTTCTGACATAGCCTAGCCGACTTCAGTTCTTGTTAAAACACAGCAGACATGCAAATTCTGTGCATTTTGGGCACTTTTTGGATGAAATCATATCTATTTTGTCCATCAAAAGTGTGCTTTCACTTAAATTGAGCGCAGCAAAAATGGACTCGATCGGCGCCGAAACCCGCGCTTCACTGTTGCTCACGCGACGCCCCTGCTCGACGCTCACGCGCTTCTCCGGCTCCCGGTGTGAATGCACTCATTGATTAACATGCACGCCAAACAAAAACAAAAAAAACGCGCTACTCCCGCTTGCGGTGTGAAACGGCCATAATTCATGAGTTTTCCTTCATGTGTGAGTTCCGTTTGCACGTGTAATGCTGATGTTGCGCGATGTTAATCATGCGGCGCCCGAGTGCATTTGACCGGCATAAAATCGGATTATGTGAGACTGACCGGGCGGTCGCCGATCACGTGAAAATCGGCCGATTCCGGTCACCAACCGATCAATCGGTGCATCTAAGGACCAATCAGCCTTAGCCATCTAGAGTTTCATGATAGAACTTGGTATATATATTGCATAAATTGACTGGTGTACAGACATCATCCTCTGCGTTGAACTAGAAATTGATTTATTTATTTTGTATAAACAGTTTTAAACTTGACTAAACAGTTTTTTTGTTGTTGTAATTGTACATTTGAACAAAGAGTTCCCATCTGCAGGATTTGACTGCTTTTCTCTGTTTGCTGTGAGCGATTGAACATTAACCCCTCAGCCCTTGATTTCCAGGTATGTCTCTGATGTTGAGGGAGAGGAAATTGTTTTGCTTTTCTTTGGCCCCAAACATATTTCTTCGTAGATAGGGTTGGTGAGAGACGGTCTAAGTCTAATTTCTTCTAAATTGTGAGCTGTTGAGGTTGCTTGAGCTGCCTGTGACGGTAATTTAAAGGTCCCGTATTATGCCCCTTTTCACAAGATGTAAAATAAGTCTCTGATGTCCCCAGAATGTGTATGTGAAGTTTCAGCTCAAAATACCCAACAGATCATTTTTTACAGCATGTTTAAATTGTCATTTTTTGGGGCTCAGAAAAACGGGCTGTTTTAGTGTGTGCCCTTTAAATGCAAATAAGCTGCTGCTGCCGGCACAGGGGGCGGAGCTTCATGAGCTCGCGCTCAGTCTCTCAGGACAATTTCATCTCACGGAATGATGAGAATATCAGAAACTCGAGTCGGACAATAATGCCTACAGAGTCAGAGTGCTGTATAGAGATGGAACAGGTATAGTTTAGTAGTTTAATTACGGTTATTATAACGTATTTGTCATCTGCTGGTATGTATCCATTATTTATTGCCTACAAGTCTGCTGTTTCGGACCAGGTCCGAATGATGATCAAACATATACTGATGAGTTTAATAAAGTTTATTGTACATCACACCAAAGATGAAGCGTCAGTTTTACTTCAGAAAATCACCGTAAGTGCTGAGTAAACACAGTAAGTTATAAGAAGTGCTCAAGTTGAGGGAGTTGAGGGAGCATTCCTGTGGGCAGACGTTAGTCAAAAAACTGTTCTACTGACGTCATTAAAGAAGGAAGTAGAGGGATGTAGTCCAAACGGGCCGTTCGATGTAGGGGTCTTCTGTTAAATAAAATATCTCGCTTGACATTGAACTTTGAGCTTTATAATTTTACAGATATTATTATTTATACTCTAACAACAACATTACACACTAACTAAAGTTTGAAACATGGGATCACGAAGAACGGGACCTTTAACCAAACGTATTACTGTCTCACTTCACTAAGATCTTACTTCAGTGCAATAGAGTGCCGAAGTGATGACGTCACGTTGTAGGACAACTCGTAAGCTATAGCGGCGCATGGGTTCCCTCGATCGAAAAGCTATGCATTTTCCCCATAGACTTTTGGAAAATCGCAAAAAATAAGATCTGTGTTTAACAAAGAGTTGTGACCCTTACACGTTTTGTGTATCAAAATCATCTTTACAAGTTAATCCAAAATGTATACATTTTGAAGCCTATATAAAGTTTTTAAAAAACACAAGCAGACACAATAAAGTTTAAAAAACCACAAGCAGGTTATAACTGTGTGTTGTATGTCATAGATCAAAACGTGAAAATATTTAGAGGGTTTGTTCACCACAGACCTTATTTCAGGCGATTTAGCAAAAACCCATTCAAAAATCCCATAGACTTTAGAGCGAGGGAACCGAGAGTGCTAAAATGCTAACTCACTTCCGCGTTTTGGCCTACAGAGTGACGTCGTAACTTCGGCACTCTATTACTGTAGTAAATAGGCATTTAAGCTGCATCTGATTTACAGAGGTGGCATTATCTGTTTTATTTGCTCAACATTTTTCTTTAGTTTTCCCCCCCAATTTGAGCAGTGAGACGTCTCTCTTTTTAGTTAAACATAAGTGTGACTGTTAAAGTGCCCCTATTGTGTTTTTTTTAATATTACCTTTCATGCAGTGTGTAATACAGCTGTTTGTGAATGTAAAAGGACTACAGTTTTAAAGATCAAAGTGCAGGTCAAATAAAAATATATTGTCTCCTAAAAGAAAGAATCGATTCTGAACTACCGAAACAAGTCGTCAACAATTCCAGTCTAACTTCTTGTTACATACCTATGTAACAATGTAACAAATTTGCATAATGCCAGCCTATGGTGTTCTTTGACCCACCCTAGTTGTAGCTGATGCCTGGAAGGCTGTGTATTAAATGCGAAGGAAGTCTCCGGAGCTGAAATTCAGATAAAATAATGGCTGTTTCATTTCCGACATGCACTGTAACCAATCACAACAGATTCTGCTGTCTGACCAAATCAGAGCAGAGTAAAGGAGGGGTTTAGAGAGAATCTTTATACGAAATGTTTTCAGGTTCATTGAGAAATTAGGTGATGTGAAATGTATGTTATGAGAAAATTAAAGTTTTTTTTTTTTTTTTTTCTGGATGCAAAACTACAGAAGCCCTTAACCGCAACGTAAACAAAAAATAACTAAAAAAATAACAAAACAAAAAATCTAAAATTTACCAGATTGAAGTTGAAATATTTCGACTTTAATCTCGTAATTTTTTATTTTTTTATTTATCTTTTTTTAAAGATTAAAATCGAAATATATCGAGAATAAAGTTGAAATACTTCAAAAGTAAAGTCAAAATATTTTGAGATTATTTCTGTACGTAGGCTACGTGTCTTCGTGCTCGTCTAGGCAACGCCATCTGGGTCGAGATTGAGAACACTTAACAGTAACCGTACTGTCTCCCTCTTCACTGTAAATCCTTTCTGGATAAATTTTAAGTGCATCATTCTGTATCCAATCATTTGACCGTATCCCCTGATTTCCTCAGAAATAAAGCTGGCTACCTCCATCCAGTCTGAAAAGTGTTTTTGCCTGTAAAGTTTATTCCGGCGCAGTATATTTTTTAACGTCCTAAAACAAATGGTAATGCCATGTTGGTAGATTAGCACCTGTAGAATTTCCTTTTGTTGTAAACTCAGATAAAAGTAAAAAGCTAATATTATGTTTAGATCCATGTCCGAGGCAGTTCGACTTCACGCAAGCATTTCTTAAAAAAATAAAAAATAAAAAAAAACCTTCTACTGAAGGCTCTATTCTCGTAATGTTGACTATTCTCAAAATATTACGACTTTATTCTCGAAATGTTTCGACTTTAATCTAGAAATGTTTAGACTTTAATCTAGAAATGTTTAGACTTTAATCTCGAAATGTTTAGACTTCAATCTCGAAATATTTAGACTTTAATCTCGAAATGTTTAGACTTTATTCTCGAAATGTTTAGACTTTATTCTCGAAACGCCACGACTTTATTCTCGTAATTTTAGAAAAAAAAATGTTACGGATTGTTATTGTTATTTTTTACGTTGTGGTTCAGGGCTTCCGTACAAAATTTGTCATTTTTAAAATTGCATAATAGGGGCACTTTAAAGTGAGTAGGACTTAATGGAGGTTCAGTTCAAATTTAATTGTCTTTTTTTTTTTTTTTTTTTTTTTTTTACAAATTCTTGTTCATATTCTCTCTGAATTATTGGAAGGCCATGTCTTGGCCTGTGTTTTGAATCCCTCTTTATTCTTATAAACCAGATATCTATTCAGATTTTCCTTTCCCCTCATGATGATTATCCAGAACATAGTGGCATAAGCATCTTTTTGCTAGAGAGCTAGAAAGTATATATTCTGCTGTTTTTCTTTGTTTTTTGTAGACTTGTGTGACAAATGTCGTATGAAATACTTAACTTATGAACCAGAATTTTGACAATGTCAAAATAAAATCAAAATTGACCCTGTTTACTTAGTTATTACATGTTCCTGGTCTTATTGTGAACAATACATCAATTCAAGTGTGGCAGAGCAGTTGTATAATCCTCTTAATCTACATTCATGCATAAGTGAATGAACACCAGAATCATGTACATGACAGAGGTTATGAATGTTCATGCTGACCTTCTGATAAATGATACAGATCTACCGGTATGTCAGTTGCAAATGTTGATCTATGCCTGTGTTGTTGTTTGAACTTATACTGATGCTGTGATACATGTTAAGTGAGGCGATTTATTCTGGTAATCAGTGCAGCCGATTCATTGACACTGACAAGTCATCAAATCCTCCATCAAAGAGGAGGCTGGGGGATTTCCAGACTCAGCCATTTCATGTTTCAGTTCCTGCTGATTTTAGGTTGATGAGCTTTTTAAGATCCTGTTTTAGTTATGTTATGCAGAGTTATGCCGCTAGGGGTTATGTTAGCCTGACCTGTGAAGAGACTAGGGTTGGGAATCGGAAATCGATTCCAGTTCTAAAATCGGATACTTAAGGTCAGGAATCAGATATTTGTTATAAAATTTAAATTTTGATTACGCCTATCGATTCCTGTGCTCACTTTAATGTGGTTTTAAACCTTTTAAGGTTAAGAAGACGCAGAAAAAACCCTAAATTCGGCACTCGCGCTCAGTTTTCTGTGCACATCTCATATAGTGGATGGATACTGAATTGAGGTCTCTCGCTATTTCTTTGCGTTTTTTTTCCTGTCAGTGACCTTCAAGATTCAAAATATGCTAGTTGATGTCCGATTATTAGCTGCAGGCAGCTGACACGATTTGATGGGCCTTGACAGTGGTACTTAAAGGGAACATGCCAATATTTCTGCGTTGGTGCATGAGTGGATAATAACTACATCCATTAAGAAAAAACAGGGTGAATTTTCATTTCATGCTGACAGCAGCACTCAAGTATGAACTATTGTGTTTGGGTAAAACCATGTTTTCCAGCATAATTTAAGAAAGAATGATCCAAAGAGCATGTTGTGCATCAATGGAAGCAAAATCATGTGACATTCTGTCAGTTCTCATTAGCAGTCACAAATTTTCCTTTTTCACAGGCCTAAAAGTTTATATCCAGGTTTAAATTAGATTTTAAATCCCTGATTTTTAATGCATTCTCATATTTTGTTGTTTCTCCACAGAAGCCAAAGAAGCCCCCACCACCATCCAAAACCTCAGGTATGTCACATTTTTAACATACCATTTCACATCTCACTGATTGCATGAATTTGATTACATCGCTTTACTCTTCTCTTTTCATTTCAAGCTGCTGTGAGACCTCTGAGGTATAAAAAGAGCTTAAAGTGTCATCAAACGTATTCTGGTTGCTGAGATAATGCTCAATGACTCTCGCAATCATATGTGATAAGAGCCACAAAATCCCTCTGATAAGTTTAAAGCTCATTGTCTTCAAACATCTTTCGCTTGTTTTTGCCTGTCATTGACCTTTAAGATTCAAAAGATGCTAGTTAATATTCAATTATTAGCTGCAGGCAGCTGACATGATTTGATGGGCCTTGACAGTGGTACTTGAAGGGAACATGCCAATATGTCTGCATCAGTATGTGAGTGGATAAAGACTGGTGGAAGATGGCATATTGATTTGAGCTGCTTCCTCTGCGGTTTTCAGAGAAGTATGCTGGTGTATGGTGAGAAGATTAGAGGTGATGCAAGATAATTCGGCATATTTAATTATGGCATTGAACACAGAGACCATGCGTGCCCACACACTCACGGATGCATTTTGAAAATCATTATTATTAGCTTAAAGGGATAGTTCACCCAAAAATGAAAATTCTGTCATTAATTACTCACGCTCATGTCGTTCTAAACCCATAAGACATTCGTTCAGCTTCGGAACACAAATTAAGATATTTTTAATGAAATCTGAGAGCTTTCTGTCCCTCCATTGACAGCCTACCAACCCCAGAAAGGTAGTAAAGACGTCATTAAAGTAATCCTTGTGACTCCAGTGGTTTAACCTCAATTTTATGAAGCGATGTGAGTGCTTCCAACGATTATGAAAATCTGATAAATGATCATTGTGCCGCTTGCTTAAAAGCCTAAACTTAATGTCCCAATCAGTCAAATCATATAACGTAACTGTTGTAAAATGTAGTCTACTGGGGACATGCTTTATTTTAAAAAGTGTTATTAAAAGCGCATTAAAATGCGACGAGCAAAGTATTCTTGGGGTTTCAGGCCCGTGCCTAAACGGTCAAATATATACAAAATGTGTCAAAATGACTGTCTTGGCGAGTATTTACATAAAGACAGTCAGTTATAAACAACTGGGAAAGAAATCGGATGCGTTTCATCATATTAGATCCATGCATTCGGTCTTAAAGTGTAATGCAAATACGGCTGTCTGTGTCATGTATATTAAACAAAAGACAATGACAAAAACACTCACTGCTCAATAACTTTAGTAGTTTTAGATAAGAATCGATATGTTTAATTCAAACAGTGAGTCGTGTTTTAAAGTTTAACTCAGGGTTTAATTACTATTTTGACAACTGATTGTTTAATGCAATACTGTGTTTTAAATTGTACAAATGGATAAATCCATAGGCTTGTTCCAGTTTGGATATTCTCGATAGTACATCTCAAAATTGGGAAGGTTAGTGATTCAGATCGTGGATCATGATTGTTTGTTTTAAGATCGTGATATGATATCTTTGGAAGATTGCCCGCCCCTAAGGGTGAGTAATTAATGACAGAATTTTCATTTTGGATGAACTAACCCTTTAAGTTGCTTTTATCATTTTATATTGCTTGAGGATTCCTTTGTAGCCATGTCTTAGAGCGGCTGCATTACTATATTTTTATTGACACCATCACAATTTTTTTTTATATATTTATTTTTCATTTAGTGTTAACGAAATTACATTATTTACAAAGAAATTGCAAAAAAAATCTTCTTTTTTTTAAATTAATAAAATAATGAACAGTATTTTATTGAATTGATTAAATTCAATATAATGTAGTTGAATTTAATTTATTTAATTTACAGCTTTAATTTAACTCTATAAACACATTTTCTAGAAAACATTGTGTCATTTGTTTATAACATTATTTATAACGCCTGTGTCATGTAAATGAATGGCGAAACTGCATAAAAAGTTTTTTAGTTGTATACGGCCACTAAGACTGATGCATCAACTTGTAGTTGACTATGTTAGTGTCAAAATCAAATGATCTGGCAATGCAGATGTGAAGTCTGATAAGGCAGCTGTAAGTCAGTCAGTCCCTCACAGCTCTTGTCTGCCAAACATGCAAACAATAAAAGCGGATGTGCATCAAAGGAGACCGCATCATCCCAATTGCTTTATAGAAAGCTTTTGCAGAGGGTTGCAAAGATTTGGTCTGTCTTTCCAACCCACACAGGAAATGCAAGTCATAGACTGTATGTTTCCTATTCTGTTCAAGAGTCTGTCTCAGAAGTCGTTTTGTTCTTTTATCTGCAGTGTAGTACCTAAAAACATATTGTTAACTCAGGCAATATGCTTCGTTTCTCAGTCCTGAAACCTGAGGCCCCCAGTGTGGACAAGAAGCAACCGCAGCCACGGCCTGAAGATAAAGGTAAGAGAGGGTTTCGCTGCCCAGTTTCTGTTATACAACAAATTGAAATTGACCTTGCTGACTGTGATTTCAGTTTTATTCCTGTTTTAACATACCCAAAAATCACCAAGGCCCTTTTTCTTTTTATTAATTAATTTATTTGCTGAGAGCCTATTAAGAGTCTGTGTAACCTGAGGAGTGAATCATTCTTGCTTTCATGCCTTCAGACATTTCACTTGTTTCATACCCAATCTTCACTGCAGACAAGCAGTCACACAATGCAACTAGATTGCTAAAGCATAAGCTGTCTATGTGCACTGCAAGAACCCAACATCACGACACTTACAATGGAGACGTCTTTGTTGATTTTGATAATTGATTTGTTTTGAATAGTTTAATTATTTGGATTATTATTTTAAACATTACCATTCAAAAGTTTGGGGTCAGTATATTTTTATTAGAAAAAAATATATACTTTTATTCAGCAAGGATTCATTAAATTGATCAAAAGTGGCATTAAAGTAATTTCTAATATTACCAACAAAAAAAAAACCTATTTCAGGATTTTTTCAAACTTTCTATTTATCAGTCTGGGTGAGCATAAAGAACATAACGACTGTCAGTGGCTGTCAGTGTATTTATCGGTGTGGTGTTACTACTCTTTTATATTTAGATCAGGTTTTAGAATTATATTGTTATCATTATGATGAAACAGCGTTTTTGAACGAATCTCCTGAATGGATGATTCAATGACAAATAAAACAATTTAACAGTCAGTTGTCGCCACTTACTTTTGTTACGATGAAATTGATGTGAATTACTTTCAAAAGGTTGCTATGAAATTTGCTATAAATTGCTCTATTTTGATCTAAGTAGACATCAGTGTTTATAGAAACTTTTAGCCAGTACTTCTATGATAATCTGAATTATTGTAATAGAGAAATAACAATACTGTGTGATTGAAAAAGACTGTTTGTGAAGCTGTTTTATACAGTTCGCTGCTCTCCCTGGCTCGGCGGTAGCAACAACGCATATTTGAATGTTCTGGCACAGTGACAGGTGAATCGTTGCAACATGCGCCACTGCCAAATTGTTGTATCAATTGCTTTAATGAGCTCATTGTTTCTGCCTAAATGAATACATGATATTGGCTAACTGTATGATTTGTTTTTTATGATGATCATAGAACTGTTTTTGACACATGGACATTATTTTGACACAGTCACCTCAAAACGATATATATTGTGAAAAGCTCTATACAAATAAATCGAATTGAATTGAATTTAGGGATAAGATCGTGTGAGTGTTAGAATCGAGATTGTGATCTTTTAACGTTTAATCATGCAGCTCTATCATATATAAGCAAAATGGGCTTATACCTGAAATATACCCAGATATTGAAAATGAATAATAGAGATTAAATGGAAAGCTAATGAAATGGAATAAAGTTGAAGCAGGAAATCTGTATCGAGACCATCACTATTTGCATTGAAATTTGCATCATCAAAGTCATCTAGTGTGTGCACTCTGAATACTGTTAATGAAGTACTTTGTATAACTGTTGACTTTGTAGGAAAACTGTCATGCACTTTGAGGATGTCTGAGGATCTGCTGTTGTGTTTGCCTCAAGGGCTTCCTGCCGAGTACTTTCTATTCATATGAATGTATATCTGATTAACTCTGTGGTGTTTGAAAGCTGGACTCTTATTTAGACCAAGTGTTACAAATTGAACGATAGACTGAATGTGAATATCGGAAAGTGTGATTACATGAAAAAATGCATCGATTTGAGAAGATAGAAGCAGATCGATGTGGTGAAAACATCCTGCCGAAATCTCCCCTGACCTACTTTGAGACATATATGTCAGTGTGTACGCTCATGAAAGTTCCTCGTGTCATTAGGAGAAGTTCAGTACATTACATGCATTACACCACTACTTACAGTAAATAAGTGGCTTCTGCTCTCATGGGTTTCTGCTGATTTTTGCGATTGTGTGCCAAGAATCAATAGACATAAAATTAATATGTTGAGAGTTATATGAAATGCTCAAACCAGTTGGGGGGGCTAATCATATTGCTGAATTAATCTTATAGTAATATCCTGCATTTAGATAATTAAATCTCTTAGCTATCAGAAGCTTATAAAAGACATACATGAATTAATAATCCAAATTAGAACAATGATTAGGTAGACATTTATTGTCTCAAAACATATATATATATTTTTGTCATTTGTGTCTTTAAAGTTGTCAAGCCCTTGCCAGAGAAACCAGCCAAACCTGCTGGCCCCACCGTCCCCCCGAAAAAGCCTGTGCCTCCAAGCAAGGGACTGCTGCGTCCTTCCATCCACACAAAACGACCTGACTTGCCTCTCACTCCATCACCAGCCGCCAAGCAAGTGTTGGTGTCACAAGCTTTATCATAATGCATTTTATTTTATTTCAGAAGATTCCCTGGTGTTAAAAAGTATATTCAAATTATTATATTAATATTTGTATTATATCAAATATTGAATTATAATTTGTCCCAAGGATAAAAATATTAATTTGAAATATATAATTAAAGCCAAATATTTATTATTATTATTAACCCAAATATTATAATAAATTATTATTTATATTTCTAAATGCATTTTACATGTATGCATGTATTTATATTTGAAAATGAGTATTTTCATATTAACATGAACATGTTACTCTCAGCTTGTTGCAATGCATTGTGAGATTTTTTTCTTCTTCAAGATTCTCAAGATATCTGCGCGCTTGTTTCTCTGGCGCATAAGGTCTATATGGCAACATAGCTTTGCATTTAGAGTGTGACTGTGATGCCTCTTAAACCCCACAGGCACAATGGAGAAGTTCCCCTCACACGAACAAAGTCAGAGGCCGAACCTGTACCAATCAAGCCAAAATCCACTGTTGTGGACAGCGGCGAGAAGAATTCAGAAACGGGTAAGCTGTTCTTTGCTGGTTTTGATATTCAATGATAACATGGCTCATTCAGTGTGGGTTTTTTTTTTTTTTTCTCAGCTCAGTGGGTTTTTTGCTGTGGTGTTGTGGGTGAATCCGAGCTCTGTTTGTGGATAAGCACTGTGGATCACTTTCTGGGAGCAGAATTATTCCTCTTGCACAGAAAGAGCAGGTTGCTCAGCCTCAAAGGAGCATGGGAAGAGTCCTGCTGTCATGTTCTAAATCCTCAGTAATCTCCATGATTTCATGCCCTACTTCTATCCATTTGTCACCCCATCTTGTGCTTAATATTGCACCAGCCACTTTTTCAAAGATTTTAGTTAAAAAAAAAAAAGTTCATGTTAAAAATGACCTGTGACGCTTCAAAATGTTCATAAAGAGATCGTAAATCTAATCAGATCGTAAATCTAATCCATATGAATTGAGCGGTTTAGTCCAAATTTACTGAAGAGGCTCGATCGCTTTATATGATGAACAAAACCCTTGAGAACATCATTCCATGGGATTTTGAAGAGACTTTGGGTGTCATCTTTACATTGTTGTTTTGGTGATTGTTTTAAGGATATCTTTAGAAGTCTTTAGTAAGTTATTTCTCAAGGTTTACCATGTTTTGAATCTTGGAATGCTTTGTCTATGCTTTGTGAAAATCGCAAATTAATTAACTCTGAATTATTTCCTGAGCTGGAGATGATAGTCTTTTCGGCTGTTAAAAGATATCGGCTGTAAAAAAGAATATTTCATATCATTATATTGCTTATTTTTTTAGGAATCTTAGTTAGAGGTACATTTGAGACATTTGAGAAACTATTATAATCACTGCAGAGTAATCAAAATTTGTTTAATTGGCTGATTAGTGCAACTAATCTCTCGGCTCAAGCTTATTCTGATAACAAGTTTCAATTAAGGCTAGCTGTCTGTATAAAATTAGTTCTTTGGCATTAATTTGTAATACTGTGATGAAGACAAAGTTAAACGTCTTCCAGTGTGCCACTGTATTTAAAGACTTATTTATCTAAGGCACCATATTTTGCTTGGAAAATGAGTAAAAATTGCTTCAAAGTAGGCAATTGATGAAAAGGAAACAATGAGAAAGATGATTACATCGAAAAGAAATTACGTTTGAGCAGATTCACTGTTTTGGGATAAAAGCTTCTTTTTTTCTAAAAGGTTGACCAAAGTAGCACCAAAGTTGGTGTAATCACATCTTCACGAAAGGTCATGAGCATTTCAATGCAGCAGACCTTCAGAAAGAGAAAATCAGAAAGTCAGGTTATGGCTGATGGGATAAAATTGTTAAGTAGGTAATGGTGGGCATATAAAATCCATCAGGTAAATTTTAAGTGCCAGATTTCAAGATATCAAACTGACAGCTAAACCAAGATGATCGATTGAAAAATTTTCAAACATGACACAGTCTTTATATACCCATCACTTAGTCATGATTGTAATTTCCTGCTCTGTTGGGTTTTGACCTAGACGGGGTGTAAACTTACTTTATTACCTCATATGACTTTTAAATTGGCTCCAAACTCATTTTTTGGCTCAAATATAACTTCTAAATTATAATTCAGCTTAGATGGATCGTGTTTGACCTTTGTGACTGAAGACTGTTCTCATGTTTGAAGTAAATATTTTATGTGTCTTATTCCCATAGCTAATCTCATGAGTTTTGATGATGTCTCCTCTACCTCGGAGAAGTTAACCCACCCTACCGCACAGCGACCAAAGATGCCTGGGAGAAGACCGCCTGCTCACAGAGGCCAATCGGTGAGTAGAAGCTTGAGCCCTGGTCTCTCAGTAATATACTAATGCAAAAGTCATCGAAAATGACACAAAAAGTATTATTTTTTTAAGCAAAACATTTTAATTATAACATTTCATTAAGACGTTATTTTATTTAGCACATTCATTAAGTACCATGCTTCCACTTCGAGATAACATTTTAATTAAAATTGATGTCATTTGTATTATTTTATTAAGAAAAATCATTAAATGCCATTTTTGATAGAAGAAAAACACAAAATAATTATTTATATCAACCAAGCAGCATCCATAGCAGTTTTATAATTTTCAATAAATACACTTGGTTCACAGAATTGTTGTGCTAGTTTGTGTTAGGAATTTTTATTTTTTTTGAGTTCAATAATTGTCATGGGTGAAATCACAGATGTCCCACAATCTCAAACCAGTATCTGCTAAATCTCTTTATACTACCATAAGCACTAACATTTGTTTTTAAATTTATACATCTATTTTGAGCAGTTTTTGCGATGTGAAGGGTGGCATAGAGAAGGGATCATGCAGTTCTCTAGTCTGGATCAAAAAAAGCTTTACCAATGAAAGCCCAGATGGGATGCTTGTCAAGTATAGCACTATTTGCACTTTGCTCTTCACATGTTTTTCTAAAACGCTCTGTAATGTCTTACAGCCGAGCAAGGAGATTGGCGAGAAAGCTGAGAAAACCGAGGAAGTGGATGAAGTTGACCCTGTGCTTTCCGCACAGAATTCGCTTAAGGTAAATCAGGAATATATAGTACACAAAAAAAGAAGATTCTGTAAATGATATACATGTTTAGAATGACATGAGGGCAAATAAACAAGGGCAGAATTTTTCATTTTTGGGTGAACTATCCCTTTAATGCAAGAATCTTATGTGCCTTTCTGTAATATCTGAGTCGAGTAATTGAATAGCTAACCAAAAGATCGGGCCTGATTATCTGTGGCTCCTTGAGAATAATACATCCCATGAAATTACGTTCTCAAGGGTTTGTGAACAATCAACAACTCTGATACGATCTCGACTGAATGTCTGGCTCTTCTTTTTCAATGAGGTTTCAGCCCTGAGGACTTGGTATTTTAGTATGTAGTGTTCTTTACATTAAGCTTATGTAAAGTGGACTGAAACACTGTCTGGTTTCACACAGATGGTTCTCATATTTGGTCATTCAGTCAAAATCTCTGTCAAAAAAGAGAACTATTTATTGTACGGCAGTCGTGATTGGGTGTCTGGTAGTTTTTGGAGTGATAAAAAAACCCCTAATAAAATAATATTGAAATTAATTTTGGCAAATAATGTGGTTGTAGTTTGATCAGTGATATGTTTTGTCATTATTGCTGCTTTTTAGATATAAAAGCTAAAAGAAATGTAATTGAAACCGCAGCTTTTATGTTCAGCAGGGTGTGCACAACTGGCACTAATTTGCCATTTATCTGCTAAACTAATCCATATGAATTAATCCAAATTTACTGAAGAGGCTCGATCGCTTTATATGATGAACATATAAAGAGCCAGACATTCAGTCGAGATCGTATCACAGTTGTTGATTGTTCACAAACCCTTGAGAACGTAATTTCATGGGATGTATTATTCTCAAGGAGCCACAGATAATCAGGCCAGATCTTTTGGTTAGCTATTCAATTACACAATTCAGATATATAACTTTTTTTCACATATAAACATTGATCAGTGAACACAAACAGAAGCTCAATCAAACCTGCTTGACATGCGAGAACGAACCTCATTGATTCTTGCGGAAGCTCAAACTGCGTAAAACGAATTATACTTGAGCTCCCTGTTACCACAACTGGTGTGTGAGTTGATGAATATATGTGAATAAAATGAAATCTGTTCATCAATTATGCTGTGATGTTGAAAAAATTGACATGAAATCACTTGCAGTATTGGTATCAGTGATACTGGCATTAATTAATAAAAAGATAGGCCTACCATTTAATAAATATTTCAAATGTATATGTTGGAGGTTAAATGTGAAATAATTACAATATAAAAATGTATCAACTTTAATGATAGTTGCAATTAATCACGATTAATTACAGATAAATGTGCGATTCAGTTTTTTTTTTTTATTGTTTGACAGCACTTACTTAACTTAAACTTAACAAATCCAAAACTTTTTGATCAATGGGAATTATAAGCGAATCAAACTTTGGACACATGAACTCAGACCACCTTCTGAGTTTGTGTGGCCTTTTTCTTGTGGTTTATTAATATCAAAGTTTTAGCAATTTCATTACATTTAAAGTGGAGTAGTGATTAATGTTCCTCCTAATCAGGGGTTTCTAGCAATTATGAAAATGACATCAGCCTCTCAGCTGGAAACACCTCAGCTTGTTGGTTCAAAGTCACCTGCCGTTGTGTAAAGTTCTCAAATCAAGTGAAATCATTCTTAGTTCAGAAATTTTAACAGATAAAAGATAAGGGTATTTCAGTATAAGGACGTAACAGTTGTATTGTTTGAAATGGAAATGCGTACACCACTAAACACGCATATAAGCATTTATAAAAAATGTGATTATTTTACTATTGATGATACACTTTTTGTTTTTCTTGCAGACGTCCGTCTCATCGCCCTTACCATCTACAGCACCTAAAGCAATTTCATCCACCCATTTTACGCCTGAGCCCAGACCAAAACCTGACAAGGAAGAGGAGAAAGGGTCTGAACTAGATGACCTAAAGGCTCAGATGAAGGAGCTAATGCTGTCTGTAGAGTTACTAAAGACACAACAGACGTAAGTATTAGTTTTTTTCATGCTGCTTGGTTTCTCGTATTCTCTACTGGTCGAGTAATGTCTATAATGCACAAAAGCTGTTCATTCACATTTAAAATTTCATCTACGTTACATTTATTCATTTTGCATTATGCTTTTATACAAAGCACCTTCATCAAAGTGATTCATCTTAAGGAGGCAATAACTCCAGAAATGCTAGCAATGCAAGTATCAAAAAAGTATCACTTGTCCAGATAAGTACTAGGTAAAACAGGAAGGGATACAAGAAGTAGTGAAAACTTAGAAGAAGATAAGTGCTCTCAGAAGAGATGAGTTTTCAGCTGTTTGAAAATTGTCAGGGATTCCGCTGTCTGGATAGGGTTGGGAAGATCATTCCGTCTCAGTGAAGATAAAGTACATAGAAATCACCCGCGACCTTAATGTTTAGAACCTCTGTTTTCTTTTGTAATTCTGTAACCTCTATCATAACTTTGCAGGAGAGAGCTCAACGAACTCCGAAAAGAGCTGGACGATGAGCGACTCAAGCGGGTGGCCCTGCAGGTAAAGCGATCTTTAAATCAGAATTTCTCTTTATGGCTTGTCCGATTCTGTTAGTTTGATGTGAATGGATGTCAAAAGTGCGGTTTCTGAGGGCAATGAAACGTAGGCGGGATACCTTGAGTTTGCCTCCACACTCAGCAGGGTGAACACAAAGGGTCTGACTCGGCTCTGAATCTCATGCTGAGTGTTTCTTCCACTTACTGACCACAAAATGAACTATACTGAATCAGAATTCCACCTCTACTAGCCACCAAGGGGTACGGCATCAAATTAGGACAAGTTATCGATTGTGGCAAGAGGTGATTTAAAATGTTATATACCTCTTCGTCGCTGAAAAACGCTACTTTTCAGGAAATGGAAAAAACACTTAGTTTTACAATTAAACACCTTGTTGTCAAAGCTGATATTGTGGCTTTGTAAATAGACAGACACTTGCATGTGTCATTATATTATGTAAGGGATAATTGACTCCGGGCTGTTGAATTGTTTGAAAAATAATGCACACCCGAGGTGGTAATGTGACCAGTGATATATGACGGGAATAGCAGCGTTATAAATAACCTCCGTTACAACGCCGTTAGCGTTACTGTCAATAAAATGTGCCGTTACTATAATTGAGCTCACTGAAGCGGTTTTCATCCGATCGCGCTCTCTCTCCGCCATAGGACCTGCAAAGTTTTTTCTCTGGTGTGTGTTTTTATGAGACGCCGGACTGGACAAAAGCGACGCGAACGCCGCGAGCGTGTTCGACAGTGCGCGAGAGAGACCGACTGTGTCCGAGAGCGCGCTCGACAGTGCGCGAGAAAGGAGTGTGCCCGAGCATAATATAGTTTGTTTTTAAATAAATTACACATTTCAACATTAGGATAATCTCTGTAGCCTATTGGTAGGCTATCATCTGCAACGTTTTAATTAGTTAACATGGTTATAAAATAAAACTAACCTGTTATACTGTAACTAAAATAACTTGCAGGGAACATTCCCAGAAAACATATTTGTTTGACCAGTTGTGAACACGTGCGGCAAACACGACTAGAATTTGGCTTAAATAACGTCTGATGATGACGTCCTCTGTAGGTTATAAAAATAAAACCCCAAAATATTATATTTTATTATTATTATGTATGTTGGTACATTGGTCAGTATTATATTGAGAGCACTTTTTGTTAAACTGTTTACTTTTGTGAGGAAGAAAATACTTTGAGTTTTATAAAAAAATTTTGCACTACAAAGAGTGTATGTGTATGTATATTTTTTTTATTACTATTTATTTATTTTTGGTACATTTCTTAAGAATCATCATTTATTTTTAGACTTATTTGTTGGCCAGTTGTGGTCTGTGCAATAAATATGAAAAGTTCTAAACCATATTGTGTTTAGTTGTTCCACTATAGTAATGATAATATTTTAATATTTAAGTTAATAGGTGTCTCTCACATTGTCCCACAGCAACATTAAAATAGTGTAGATTAGTCTACAATGTTTTATAATAATGTGTTCTATTTAGTGTCCATTTCATTCATTTAACATAATAATATTGGGGGATAATTAGTTACTTTTGTAATGATGTAACTCAGTTACTAACTCAGTTACTTTTTGTGAGAAGTAACTAGTAACTATAACTAATTACTTTTTTAAAGTAACTTACCCAACACTGAATGTGACCATGAAGCGGAGTGGCCGTTACACGTCGGGTGTGCAGTATTTTCTAATAATCCAACAGTCAATACATTATTCTGCTTATACTATGGTTACTACGCCTCAAAACATTGTTCAGATTATGTATTTCAAGACTTTTGTCAGGTTTCTGTCATTAAAACGCTTTTGAAAAAGCCTTGTTGCTAATTTCAAAACGTCATTTTAAAGCTAGTAACTAATACTTGAGCCACTGATGGCAGACTAATGCAGTTATGAGAGAGAGAGATTTTGTTTTTTGCTTGGTGAATGAAAACTACTGAACAATTTGAATTTAAATTAATTTGAAAGTAACCAAAGACATGGGCAAGCTTTCATTATTTTCTTTAGAAAATGTAAAATTTTAGTTCTTCAAAATTGACATGTTTGCAATTCATTGAGCTTTTTATAAGATCATTGTAAGAGATGCTTTGTAAAATGTAAAATATTCTGTAGCAATCTGTTTGCTTAATATGCAATGTTAGACATTTTGGTAACACTTTACAATAAGGTTCATTTATTAAACATTAGTTAATGTATTAACTAACATGAACTAACCATGAGCAATACATTTGTTACTGTTTTTGTTCATCTTTGTTAACGTTAGTTAATACAAATCCAGCTGTTCATAGTTTGTTCATGTTAGTTCACAGTGCATTAACTAATGTTAACAAGATTTTAATAAAGTATTAGTAAATGTTGAAATTAACATTAACAAAGATTAACAAATGCTGAAGAAGTATTGTTCATTCTTAGTTAATGTTAACTAATGTAGTTAACTAATGAACCTTATTGTAAAGCGTTACCGACATTTTATAAAATGATTAAAAAAAAGTTCTGATAAAGTAATCTACTATTGAAGTGTGACACTTTATTCAAGTTACCTTAACTGAAACAGCCTTTGAACAAGCTACCGACTTTAAAAGGAAGACTACTTTGTTTAACGCATCAGTCAACAAAATTATTTTGGAAAAGAAGTAATCTGGACTTTTTTTCTGCTGGTAAAATGTTTTTTTATAGATATTTTGTGTTGGACTTTGTTACATTCATGTTCACCTTGCTGTTAAAGGTAGGGTATGGGATTTGCAAAACGGCCGGCAGATTTTGAAAATGCACAACTCAAAAGGTCCTACCTTCTTTCCTCCAACGCTGGCCCTGACTCCACCCATTCGAAGAACATGGACGCACAATCATTCTCCAAATGGAAGCAACTTGCACTTACTCTCTCTCTCTCTGTACCGGGGCGACTTGCACTTACTGTGACTGGGTCACGAGCTTTGAGTATGCGCACGAAGGGGACACATGGGGGAGGGGGGTATGGTACGACCGTTTGATTGACGCACTTTACTGTCCAATGATTCTAAGTGGTCTTGGAAATGATTGGCTGGAGTTTTTCAAGTCCTGGCCGTTCCACAGATGATTAAATTGCTTAATTTTCATTTCAGTGCTTCTAGGGTTGCAAAATTCTGGGAATTTTCAAAGATGGAAACTTTCCATGGGATTTAATGGGAATTTATGGGAATAAACAGGAATAAAGTGGGAATTTTCAAAGTTGAGGGTTGGCTCTTCATAGGGAACTTAAATATAGTTGAGGAAAGTATATTTTAGCATAATCTTGACTAAAACAAACAGATGTCATTCAAATACACTTGAATATCCATGCCATTCCTCAATCACATGCACATAGAACACTGCTTACTGCATAGTTATTGAGACCACACCCCCTACTGGCACTGTGCATGCCTATATCACATAGGGGTGTAACAATACATCGATATGGATCGATGCATCGATCAAACGTCTAACGATACGATGCATCGATACCACACCTAAAATATCGATGTACGGTACCTTTATTTTGACACACTCCACATCCTCACGTTACTTTTCTCCGCTGAAATAGACGCCTGACAAGATTGACTGAACCCTTTGTCACAAAAGCCGGTATTTTCCACTGTCATCTCGAGACTCGAGTTCATGTTTCACAGCAGAAACAACAAGCCCCGAAAAGTCTGTTTTAGCAAATCAGTGCGCAGTATTCAGGTCAGGTGACAAGGCTGCTTGTCACTTTGAAAAGACGCGCTAGCTGAGAGGAGTTTCGTCAAAGCTGACTAAAAGTGATCGAGGATGGATTTCAGCGAACTTGATGAACCCGTGATATCTTCTTCGGGGCGTAAAAGTAAAATAAAAGCTGAAACTTTGTCACGGAAGCTTGCTAAAACAGCACGTTTAGTGGTGAGTGAAAAGCTCTCTGTATCGCGTGTACGTTAATCACAACAACAAAGTTTGACAGGCGTCTGTCAGCTGAGGAGATTAACGTTACAAAGATTAACTTAACCAAGTGTTTTATTATGTATCATAGCAAATACTTGGCTTTGTTTAACTCTAAAACATGAAATGTGGAGTTATCTGCTTTTGCCACACAATAAAATATATAAATCCTTTCAATGAACTTTAATATAACAGAATAGTTCAAAAACAGATAACTTCGTTCTTGTTCATTTTCATATATCATGTTTTTTTTTTTTACTTGTAACAAACAACTTGTAAATGTCCCAATTGGGAGAGGGTGTGCAATTTTAAAAGAGTTTAAATAAACTTTCTTGTTATATATTTTTGGATGTATTGTGAGTTAATAAACGTAACTGGTTGTGTACACTTGGCACATAATATCTAAATATCGATTAATCGATCGATATAGCCCTGAATCGAATCGAATCGTAATCGAATCGTAGAATTGTTTGAGGTATCGGCAAATATCGTATCGCTGGCTGAGAGAATCGATATCGTATCGTATCGTGATTAACTGTCCGATTTACACCCCTAATATCACATGTACAGAAGCCCAAAGCACAAGACTATTGAAGGCACACATTTGAGCCTGTGGACTAAACAAAGTGAAGTAAGTTTTGATGATATTATGGGGAAATATATTTATTAAATGTTTAAATTGCAAATATCACAAACAAATGTATTCATCTAGTAGCAATGCTGACAAGTTAGATGCTAAGCTAGCATAACTTTATTTACCACATAAGGCAGATGCTAGCTACCTCAAGTGGCTGTTTTTCTCTGCCTCCTGCAATGTTTTCAAGCTCATTCCAGTTGTTTAGCTAGCCTTACTATTTATGTATTTGTTCATGCCATTGCATTAGTATTCTTACTAGGGTTGGGCCGATGGACAATATCATCGTCCATCGTGATGTTTAGCCAACATTTTGGATATTTCCTAAATTCCCCAGCTTAACTTCCCATGGAAATTTACCGGAAACGTTCCGTCCCTTTGCAACCCTAAGTGCTTCTAACTCAGTGGCTGTAAGTGGGTTAGGAATAGGATTTCAAGTGATTTTGAAAAAATGGTCAAAAAAGAAAATCACACACCCCACCTTTAAACATCAACTAATTTATGACACAACGCTTCCCCACCATTGACAAACTTTTCCGGCAATCCATGTTTTCACTTTTATATGGTAGGCTGCACTATTTTGCATCTTCTGAAATAGTACAGAATCTTCGGATCAAAACACAGGTGAAGAAAAAGCAGAAACAAGCGATAGAAGCATTGCTTACGCACATGTAAGCTAACGCGATCATCAAATATTAAACGGCATATAAATTATAACTGCCTAACGTTACAGAATGAAATGTCGACCCAGGACAGGACGAGGTATAGGACTTTGCAAGCTTTGAATACAACAACATTGTGGCGAGCAGGACGAGGCCGAGGGACGTGAGAGAACGGCGCGAGGCCGGTGGTGTGAGTGGTAATGAATGACACCTGTGAGACGCACCGGTCTCGCATCTCTCACTGTCGTCGCTCCTCCTTTATGCTTCCGCTCCTCCGTGAGAGATGCGAGACCAGTGCGGTGCGTCTCACAGGTGTCATTCATTATCACTCACGCCACCAGCCTCGCGCCGCTCTCACGTCCCTCGGCCTTGTCCTGCTCGCCACATACGTATTCTGGGTACATAAAAGTTTTGTGAAAATGATCAAAAATGCTTGTGCTGAAACGCTGGTGGGAAAAGAGTTAAAACAGGTTTATAATGCAAACAACACTTCACCATGTTAAAGTGTTTGTGTGCTTATTTCCAGATGGAGATAGATAAAGTGAAGAAGCTTGTACAATCAACATGAAATCTGGCTCCCTGAACTGGACTGATGGCTCCGCTGTCACGTCACGAGTGGAAAGCGACCTCCAGATGGAGGGACGATATCATTCACGTCATCATTACACTCACTGACTTACTCCACAAATTGTAAGATTCACATATTTGCACATGAGGTTTTTTTCTAGGTTTAGAAAAGTGTAATTATGACAGATGTATATGGTTGTTTTCCTCTCTTTTTTTCTTTTTTGCCAACAAAAAATGATCGAGGCCTTACTTTACTACTGTGCTGGATATGTACTCTGGGCACTTATTGAAAAGTGCAGCAGATTATGCATTTAATACTACTGAGTCTGTATAAATGTTGGGGGATTATCTTGTTTCCTTGTTTTTTTATGACGGGTTAGTTTTTAAAGAAAACTATCGTGATCTCAGCAATATTCTGTCTATATTAGCCTCATTAGATGATTATCAAATGTATGGCGTACTCTTGGTTCCTTAGTGATGATGTATTCTGTTGTTTCAAAAGGGAGAAGATTTCTGTTTGTGTTTTCTCTAACATTCCTATCCAGGGTAACACTATCGTGCCTGTTAAGATTTTTACAAGTGTTAATACTGGGAGCTCTCATACAATATAAATATATATAAATATATATGTGTATACTTAGATCTACGGCATGATATATTTTTATGGTCTACTGATTGACTGGGATTGTGTGTTTTGGTTTAAAACACCCAACACAAGAAAATGTGGCTTCGACAAGCGGTGCCATTTCACCATACGAATGGCAGAAATCGATTTAGCAATTTAGGCTTCAGTTTAATGGCATAGAATACCGGTGGTTTTGTTCTGCAATTACGCCCCCTTGCAAAAAATCCATTTGGCTTTTTTTGGCATAAACCTCTCTGACTGCTGTTTCTACATGGATGGTTGGCTAGTTAAAACATCTGGCATGATGAAATATAGATGTTGAGCAATGAACACCTCAGGTTATAGGCTGGTGGTTGGCACAGAGGGAATGAGTGGCTCTCTGAGGAGTATGTTTTTGTATTAACAACTGTGCAGTTGAAGTAAGTACTGCTGACCAAAATGGATCTTTTAGTCAATTGGTTCCGATTCTAGAATTATGCAGTCAATAAAACACACTCAGGTACACTGGAGTGTGCCCATTCCTCAGACCTCTTAACCCTTAAGCTGAAAATACATTTTTAAAAGCATTCCTGAGCAGGGATTGTTTGTTTGTCTCTGTGTGGGAGTTGCTGATACAGTAGGATGACAGGTTGATCTCTAAAGCAATAAACAGACAAATCTTTTTGGTTTCCATTCCTTCATGTTTAATGATGTTCATGTTCTGATGCTCCAACTTTACAGGATCTCCCATGAAAGTACGTGGAAAATTAGTCATCTATGTTGTCTGAAATTGGGTAGAACACATTCCATTTTATTCTTTTATTTCTTAAGATCTGTTGTGCACATACAACATCTATCAAAATGATCTTGTTTACATGATTTAAAACTGAATTGCATGAGCTGAGGTTTTTTTTCCCCAAATGAAATAAATATCATGTTTATTAACTGAGATTGTTGTGATTTATTTAGTTATTCAAGTTTTTTTTTTTTGTATTATAGTTTTTTTTTCTCCAGAAATATCTGAAATTGTTTTCTTTTTGGGGTCAGTAAGATTTTTTTGTTCAAGATTTTAAAGAAAAAGTCTCTTATTCCTATACCAAGGCTGCTTTATTTAATCAGAAATAAATAGTAATATTATTACAATTTAAAATAACTGTTTTGTATTGTAAAATGTTTGTTTTTCCTGTGAATTTCAGCATCTCAGTGTCACATGATCCTTCAGAAATCATTCTAATGTGCTGATTTTCTGCTCAAGAAACATTTCTTATCATCAGTGGTGTGTGTGTGACAATTACACTTGAGATGATTTTAGAAAACTACGTGAAATGAAAGCATATTTTAATTTCAATAAATAAAAGTGCAATTTTGTTAGAATTAATTCTATATAGCCCTCATTGATTAATAATGGTGGTATATAAGGACATACAAATTGGATGAGAATTCACTTAAGGAATTTAAATGTTTTACTAAAAGAATGATGATTAAAATTCACATCTCACGCAGTGCCAATTAATCTTTCCCCTTTAGAAGATCTACAAATCCATTCTTAATGTCTGGAGGTCATATGTATACAGCCTTTTAGCTCTCGTACTGACAAGTGTTAATTCAATCGGAGAACGAGGGCATTTTGAGATGTTTTAATAATTATAGACTTTAACAATTTACAAAAGGCAGGAAACTTGGAAAGTCTCCAATCAGCAGAGCTGGATTCAGAGTCAGACAGCTCCATACGCAGAGCCAGGCTGTGAGAGAGACACTTTTCCATCTGCTGAGCTGCTCAGAGCCGGTGTACATCTTCTTCAGTCTGTGTTTCCACCACAGATCCATCCCATCCATTACTGATCTTGTGTAACAAAGCCAGTCAGATGCCAAGATCACGTTTAATCACGTGTTTTTGTCAGGTCTACAATATGCCCCCTTCAAAAGCTGCAGCTATTCAGACACCTGTACTAGCACTATTATTTATGAGACTACAGGCACGCTTTTTTGCCAAAAAAAAAATTGACAGCCCTGTAATATAACTCCTGCCACCACAGTAATGCACACAATTTGTGAGAATGTGAACTCATTCTTTGTGCCTTTAGCAACTAAAATCTACTTATTGCCTTAAAGAAACAACTTTTGAAATATTATTAATTTAATAATTGATGCAGCCTCCTGACACTGGATCAGTGAAGCTACACCAGTTACTGTAATTTGATTGGGAACATTAACTTAATTGATGCAACTTCACAACTATGTAGAAATTAACATTATAATTAGCTTTTCAATGAATGATATGATATTATAATGTAATACAATAAGAATAATGCAAAAGTTTGTAGTCAGTAAAATTGTTTTATTATTATTATCCACCAAGGATGTATAACATTTACAAAAGTGACAAAAGATTACAAAACAAATTCAAAAATATATTATTAAAAAAATATTTTTATAACAACAAATACATGCTGTATGTTCTTTTGAACAGCATATGCATCAAATAATCCTGAAAAATGTATTATAGTTTCCACAAAAAAAATATTTTCCACATTGATAATAATAATAATACATGTTTATTGAGCTCCAAATCTTAGAATGATTTCTGAAGGATCATTGGCCATTCATATCGTATGTAACAGTTTATTTTTTTTTTTTCATTCCAAGGTCCTCAGAATGACGCAAAGAAATGAATTTTGCCGCAATGATGTTCTCAGAACATTCAGAAAAATTGTAGTTTCATTAAGTCAGCTGACAGCTCATGACTGAGTCTTGTCATTCTCATAGAGTTGTTTTGTGCTCTTTCCTAGAAAGCTTTCTTCAACCAAACTCATGACTATCAATGGGGTCCATTAAGTTGTGTGGTAATGTGCAACCCTTTTTTAAATTCTATGGTCAAGGTCACATCCATAGTGATGGATTCAGCTGTTTTTAGTTGTTTTTTGTTGTTGTTTTTGTGACTGGCACCCTTAACCAGTCACAATTTAACAGTCTCAGAAACAGGAACATTTGATTACATTATTGGATTTTCAAATTATGTTGTTAATAACAAGTGAAGGTTGCTGATAGATATGGGAGATGGTTGTGTACTACATTGGAATTAAGCTCATCCATTATTCATTATTCATTATGCTTGACTACACACTTGCTACACAAGTGTCTGATCATACATCACAGCTCTCCTGTCAGTAAACTAAAATGAACCCTTTCTGGGGCAGTGAACACTGCAAAAGCTGGGTGCACAGTTACAAAACGTTTTTAAACGTGACGTGTAGGCAAGTAACCCATACTCGGAATTTGAGCAATCCATCTGTCGGACAATTCAGGGTAAGATTCGAAAAGGATTTAGACTCAAATCAGAATTTCATGTCCACTTATTTTTTTATTTGGTGAGTAGCATGAAATAAAAGGAATAATGCACAGTACCGGTAGTCATTATTGTGAAATTATTGCACCCTCAAAGTGCTTCAGTCACAATTGACGATAAACACAGTGATTTGTACCATTGAAATCTTTTGAAAGTCCTTAATCCACAGTCACTAAGAGAAACCATGTCAGAAATGGCCCTTATATACCTGATTCACAGCAGCGCCATCTTTGATTTCTAATGGGAATGAAAGCGAGGCTGTGAGGAATACATCTCTTCAGTGGCTTATACTGTTTATACTGTTTTTGGATTGTTCTGCTGATGAAAATCAAGCGTAGTGTCGGTTCTGGCAGGTCACGCTCGCATCAGCTGACTCTCAGCTGATCCACGTCTACCTATAGGAATACGACGCCTATCGCTGTCTGTATACATAAGCTCCTTCAGTATTATCAGCAGCTCTTGCGTTTCTCAGGAGTTCATACCCCAGGTTTAGGACCCCAGGAAGAATAGCTTTTAGCTTATGCTGAAGCTAATGGGGATCCAAATAAAACAAACAATACCCTCCTCCCTCCCCAGCTCCTCCTCTCGCCCAGTCAGGATTTGGCATTCTGATTCCCCTTGAATCTGAATAAATTCTCGAATTATGTTGTATTTTAAAATCTCGAATTAATGATATCTGCAATACATTCATGTTGGTTCTGTTCTGTTTACCCTAAGGGTTATTGCTGCTCTCCCTGCTCTTATCCATGCTAGGCTGCATGGATACGCAGGGAGTTCTCGCCCAGAACGGAACCATCCCGCCAATCCAAACTGTATGCTAATTGTCAATCGTATTTGACGATATTGGTCCTGAAAGAACACTGCAAAAATATATTTCCAAGAAATTTCAGTAGATAAAAAATTCCAGACAACATAAGCAGTGGAAAATTATAAGTGATATAGGAGCTTTTTACATCTTTTGCCATTGAAAACTAGTCTATCCCTCACAGCCACTTGTCATGGATGCTCTGAAGAAGCTCTATAGATAACCTGATAATGAAATACAACGTGGCTTGAGGTTTTGGTCTTCTGAAAATGTAATGTTTGAAAAGAAATTCTTTGTCTGTGCCTGAAAGGTTACTGCTCTTTTGTTTAAAACAATAGCATCAGTTCCTTTTCATATGGTCTTGCTTATTAACCCCCCACACTTGGGTTAGAAATTAAATAGCAAGCACAAGTTTTTCATCCACAGACTCTCAAATGTTTTGCCAGATGGACTGCGGTGCTGACCTTGAAGATTATTGTCCTGCATTTTTTCAGTCTGCATCTCTTTTAATAGTGGAGAACACAATACGCTAAAGCAAGCACATACAGATGCAGTATAATAACAGCATCAACCTATGACCTCTTGCTTATTCCATAAAATGATTCAATGCTGGCCATTATGCCTGGTGATTTGAACAATAATTAGTTATTTGCAATGACTTTTAAAATGAACATTTGATGGCATATGGAAATTGCCAGTTTATATTTTATAACAAGATGCCAGGTAGGTGCAGTACAATATGTAATATCTAAAATGCCTTATTGTTTTTACCCACAGAGATTGTTGTATGGTTATCTTGTTCTTTGGCTGGTTGTTTATGTCGTATTTCTCATTTATGCAACTTGGGTTTCAGGGTTTTATCCATATCAGTTAATTATTTTGGCGAGGATTCCTTATTACATGCATTTTAAATTGGAAGATAAGTGACTATTCAACACAGTCCAAAGTCTGAGACCACTAGACTTTTCTAAATTAATTAAGTTTTTCTAATACAAATTATATTATCAGCATAACAGCATAATTTGGTTTGTCCTACTTTTAATTTAATGGAAGAAAGAACATCTGACCGTCTGTACAAAATAATTAGTTTA